TTTTCGGCATGTGAACGTTTTATTTCATTGAATCTGGCGAATTACAAAAAAATAATGATGCGGAAAAATTATGGAAGACAAAAAATTAATCGAACAAAACAAAGAAGTCATTTCATATTTCAAAATTTACCAGCGGCGCACCACAAAAAAGTTCATGGATCGAAATAGGGTTTGACCACTAAAAAATTATGTCCCTGTATATTTTCACAGTCTCTCGGCATACTGAATAACGTACACCGTAAAAGGATCTGAATATTTCAAAAACTGAAAGAGCTATAAAGGAAAAATAAATATTCTTTGAACTTTAACGCTCTCTGTTGATCGGTAGCGAAGTGTTTGCAGACATTTTTTTATTTTTGGAAAAAAGTTCCTTAAACCTTGATACTGAATTTTGAAACAACCTGTATAGGAATATTTCATTATATCTTCGACAGATATACGGAATTGAAATAATTCGTATGCAAAATGAAGTTATGTAATTTGAAATTCCTTAGAAAATATGATTCTCAGTAGTTCCTTATTCACTTTTAATCAATGTGAATTTGAAATTTAATCATTAAAAAAACAGAAATCTAATCTATTTAGCACATGATGATGGAATTGCTATCTTTAAAAGAATCGAATTTTATGAAATCTACGGCTAGCTAGTGCGTATTCACAGTTTATTCAGAAGGCAGAAAAATGCTGTTTTTATTTTGACATTCGTTCGATAAACACTGGTGACGCTGTTCAAGCTGTGATAAAGTCCTTATCAACTTTATATGATATTGACTTCGTTCAGATGGAAGTACTATCATATCGATATTTTTTATTATGAGGAGGTTGCATTTTATTTGTATTCTCCTTGACCTTGTCACCATTTGAAAGTAGATATTTTAGTGTCATATATTTTTGTTTTTCAATAAAAATTTGTAAAAAAATTCAAATATAAGGTATGTTACACATCTGATTTTATTTTCTTAACCCTACTGAAGAAATATCAAGCACTCTTCATTGAAGACGAAAAATGAGTCAAGGCTATTGTTTTATTAATGAAATTGATTGATAATTTATTTATATATCAAGGCAGCAAAAGCAAATATGTGGAGGTGGAAGCCCGACGAGTATAGAGAAGGGCCTTGAACACATATGAGAAAAAATGCACCTTTTCTACCATGATACATACAGGGTGTCAGGCAAACCATACCATGGATAATATCCTAGCTGGTGATAAACAAGTTTATAACCTATCAAACAACTGCAACTTGTCCTCAGACTCCTCAGTATAAACATCACGGTTTTCGAGATATTGGAACTTTAATATAAAAAAAAACTTGTATTCCTATGTTCATGTTCCAAACCAATAATAAGGAGCGTTTCATGTCAATTCTTATTTTCGATAAATATTACTGAATAAGAAGTAGTTCTACAAAAAATGTTTTTTTTGTAGACCGTAAATGACTGATAATGAAAATGTGCCTTCTGTGATTGTTACAAGTACTATTCAGTAATATTTATCAAAATAAGAATCAGCATGAAACGCTCATTAGCTTGGAACATGAAAATAGGAATTCAATGTTTTTTATAGAAGTTCCGATATCTCGAAAGACGTGACGTTTTTACTGAGGTGGCTTGCCGGACACCCTGTACATAAATGATTTCATCTGAATAGGCACATATTTGAAAGTCATTCTTGAAATTGTGCTTCAGCGGTGTGTCTCCCGATATAATTCAGAATGCGTTCAGAAAAAGTATAGGGGCAGACCATAGCATAGTTGCCATGTGTTGAAATACGATTGGGAACTTCAGAAATATTAGTTATTCAAACATTCATAATTTCTCAATTATGTATTGGTAATATTCCTATTTTGTAACACAAAATAAATTGTCTCAAAATATTCCCTTATGATTTGTGGCTTATTGCTTATAATACAATTGTGTAAATAGTTATTATTCGCGAGATTCACGAAGTGGGCGACATCTAGGTTACATAATACGAACTTCAAACTGGGGGAAAACAAACTGTTGTCAATGACATAAAGTGTTGGCACTGTTGGTAGTGATGATGGTTGCGTTGGTTAATTTTTTTACATTATAACATTTTTATTAGTTTAGTGAACAGTGAAGAGGTGAAGAATTGAAGATAGTTCAAACAATTCAAACTAATTATGACGAGCAAATCGATTGACATATAAAAGAACAGCTACAACATGTTTACAATACCCAGATTGTCCTGCTTTGCAGGAACAAATAGAAATCCTACAGGAGTTCCTCTGGACCCCAACTTCAATTTTACTTCATGTGGGGGAGATTTCATCGCCGAAGTTTGTTGACAAAGTGCCAAAATGTGCCTTTTGTTGAAGTCTTCTGCCTTACACAAAATCACATGATTAGCACGGAGAACTGCTTCTCCTTCCACTACTGGTCGGCTTTTTCTATCTAAATAGAGCAAATCTGCCAAAAGAACATCTACAACAGGCATTATTAGCGTTTTCGATCGAATATTGACAATTAATGTCAAGAAATTTGAAAACTTATCACTCTTATCAGTACACAAGCTAATGGCATTGAGTGAGGATTGAGTTTACTTTTCCCCCAGTGTTGCGTCCACACGCAATCGTGTATGTTTTTACTATTAATTAATTATTAATTATTATGTAGGATTTATTTGTTGTTAACAAGAACTCTGATTTTATTTTCAAATTCAATGATTCATTATTTTTTTGTCATTGATCCAAAGTTATTATTTATTTTGCACACCGGGTATTATATTATCGCGATCAAGCCTTTCAGATTTCAATCGCGCCTAGCGGACAGGAAGAGAACAAAAATACACCTGTTGCGCATAAAAAGAAACTCAACAAGACATCTCTCTCGGGAGTACGCGAGTCACCGTTAAACATCAATTTTTCTTCAACAATTAAAAGGAAACTTTGTAACCGTCACATTAGACGTTAAAACGAAAGTGCATTAATTGACTAAATATAGAAATTCGTGTACATTTGGAACATTTTGATACGAAAAGTGTAGTGGGTAAACGACCAAAAAGGACATTTCCAAGTGGCCGGCCGGTTCATCTTCAGCCTCCCAGAACTCTCTGGATCTTCTTGCAGATATTTTCTAAGGTAAGAAATTTGAAAGGCCCGTCGACGTAAATCCAAAATTAAAGTACACTGTCCATTTTTCTCTCCTTCTGAATATTTCTTTTCCGGCAAAGTTAACGAATAATTGTTAAATTTTGGCAAAAAATCTACTCATTCTTTACATTTGGTCCTTCGAGCCGGACATAGCTTTGACATGGAACGATGAAAACCGAGCGCCACCTGGTAACATTGATTCCCGCGAATATTAATTCACATTAGAGGACATTTGAAGCGGTGAACGTGACAATAAGACAGGCATGACTTGTGGGCATGGTCATGTCCCTTCTCAACATTCAGCAAAATGTTGCCAAGTCTCAAACATTTGCGTGATATTTTGTTATGGATTATCAGAAATATTTGGGCATGCTGGTTGGTCGAAAAAGTCAAGAATTAACTATATCATGGGTTCCTCCTATTATGTTTCAATCAACGACAGGACTCTTACATCTTTTTGATAATTTGATTATAATTGATGACTTAACAACCTTGCATCGTGAGTGGGAATGGAACATTATCTGACCAATAACGAAACAGCATAAAAGCTGACGTCAACATTTATTCGACGTATCGCCAAATTTTGCAAGTTATTTTTGTATCTAGACGCGAAATGTTACTTTGGTGATCAAGATCTGATTTTTTTTAACGAGGCGTAGCCGAGTTAAAAAATAGTCGAGATGACCAAAGTATTTCGCACTCGAGCTGCAAACAACATTTTTTCTACAAACGTCAGAAAATATAGTTCTAAAGTAAAAATATGCTTAGCTTGATATACACTACACTGTTTTACCACTAACCAAACCGATTTTTTAACGCCTCGACACGTGTTTCGCTAACTATGTTAGCATCTTCAGGAGAAGATTAAACCTGAATGATTGTTATAAGGATTATTCAAAGTTTTGAAAACTTCAACCAACCACTTTGAAATATTGTAAGTAGGAGACCCAATTGCGGATACAATTGGCCTCATTTTCTTACCGGGTTTGTGTATTTTTGGTAAATAATATAGTCTTGGTACGCTTGGGTTAGATATTTGTAATTTATATTTATTATGTGCAGTAATATAGGTCAAACCAGGCGACCCATAAAAACAAGGTTCAAAGAACACATAGCCCATTTAAAATATGGCAGGTTAGATAAATCTTGTGTAGCCGAACATATGTTCAATCACAATCATAACACACATATTACTAACCTCAAATTAGTTAAGCAAGTTAATAACATTAGAAAACTAGACGCATATGAAAGCTTAAGAGATATTTAAGAATAGTGATAGAGTAATGAATAAGGATAATGGACCTATTCCATATAGCCCTCTATATAGTTTAGTAAATTAAGATTAACATGTGAACTCAACCATGACAAATATTAACATGACGGTTAGTATTTTTCACAGTTGGGTGAACATATACCTAGTATATAAGCAGCACAGTAGAATAGGATATTTAGTTTTAATCTTCTCCTGAAGATGCTAACATAGTTAGCGAAACACGTGTCGAGGCGTTAAAAAATCGGTTTGGTTAGTGGTAAAACAGTGTAGTGTATTATCGTGCCAAAGGTTCCAGTCTTCGATATATATATATATATATAACCTTGTCATTTTTTGACATTTGTAGAAAATATAATTTAGGTCCCTTACGACACAGTGGAGTGATTGAATGCAAATAATTCATTTTAAGTCCACGAACCCATTGGTGAAATTCTTGAGATTGTGCTTCCAAAACCGGTCTTTAAGTGTTTGGAACACTTCTGAAACCTCGAATCAGACAAACTCTGCAAGTGCAGTGATCAGTGAATCAAACCGACCATCATATTCCTCCTTTTTTTCAAACAATATCAGTGGTTGAACCTAACTTGGTGTGGGATAAAAAAATGCTGTTGGAGTCATAAATAATATTTTATTCAATCTAAGTTGATGAACTCCAGAATTGAGTGAGATTAATAAAATAAATTTTGACAAAAATCGTCTTTAATATCACTATAAGGTACCTACATCTCAAAGGAATAGCAAGAGGAAGTTTTTCATAATTTCTGATATACAATTCATGATACCACTGTCATAATGTACAATCTCGATCGGCTCTATACCTAACAATTGTGTATATCTACATCAGTTGGCCTTTTTTTCGTTATGAAAAGTCGTGCATACTGCTTTGCCATAGAAGAAATACCCCTAGTATCAGATGTAGACCAAAAGCAATTAACTACATAAAAAAATTCATAGTACCTACTTCCTATTCCTCTCATCAATCTGTTAGATAGAGACCCGATCATATTGTATTTTTCATGTTAGGCAATGCAGCAGACAATTCAAGAGGTACAGTCAACAACTACCAGCAACTAGCTCATTATTGTGCTCAAACAGTTGCTAAATGATATAATAATATAATAAGTATAGGTAAAGAATAACAAGAATGAAACTAGGGCACAAAGCTGGATACCTACTGATGAATCAATTTTTTGTGTAAATAAATAATCAACTGTTATTAATTTCCAATATAAACAGAGCTAGTTTTATTAATGATAATTTTTTTACTGCAGACCTATCATCCAGTATGATTCTTCTGAAACTGAAATGACATGAATTTGCTGAATATAATTAAAATTGTTAGGCCAAAAATTCATTTTTTATGAAGAGCTGAATATTGGTATGTTTTGAATACTGGCAACTTTTTATATTTCATAAACTCAAGTTTTTGAAGTTGAAATGGAGGTAAAACTAACCCTGTACTGTCAGTTCCATGTTTTTCATTCAGGCTTGTCAATACATTATGGAATATCCAGAATATCTTTTAGTACTTACAAGTGTGAACATTTCTTTAATTAAACCATTCTCCATATCATTTTGGAACTGTGCGACACTGTTTTTCAACTGGGGCATCTCCTATAAGATATCACATTTATCTTTTGATTATTTTTTCCCTTGCTACCATTAAATTTGTTTGAATGATTTTTAGTTCCCTTTTCAGACGATTTCAGGTGATATTTTATCATTCATCATTATTGTAAAATTGTTTATTGAAATTTTACACTTCAAATAATTATTGCTTAGTGTCTTTTTGGTATAAACAGTAATCAGAAATCAGAATAAAAATCGACACGATGTAGTCATGAACGGGAAACAGTTACTTATTAAAATATAGAAGGACAAGCTTCAAGTTTAAATGCAACATAAAGAAGGATAATATATTCAACAATATACACCTTAACAGCAAAGTCCATAGTGGAAAAATTACGACTAGCCAAAAAGCAATACCTGAAATAATTCTACATTTCATTAACTTTCAACTCAATATACTATAAATATATTAAATAATTATTATATAATTCTGAAAAATAGCTATAGCTGACGTTAGCTACTCTTTTCTCCATCAACTTTCATCATCAGTTGCACAAACATCTTATTCAAGGTACAGTATAAAAATACATTCTCAAAAACACTAGAAAATATTCAAAATTTGACAAAAAAACTACACTTTGTTTTGACATAATAGTATGCACCAAGAAACTAAAGTGCAGAATATGAAATATATAGGCGAGGAATTGAAATAAAGATACTTTTGTTTCTTAGTACATTCCCTATTTTTTGCACTTCCTAGTAATTTAAAATCAAAATTATTTTGCCTACGTCACAATATAAAAGATAAGTTAAATACAACAAGTAATTCGACCTCAATGGTCACAACATATGGCTTGTGGAATTGAGCTGCTCGTCAATCAATGTTTGAATACTCTTAAAAAACGGTTATACGTTGTAGACACGGTTCAATTTTTCATCAATTTTATAAGAATTGGAGTAGGTGAAAAATGTCATATTTTTCATTCGGTTCATGTTGGAACAAACGCCAATGTTTTTTGTTGTTGAGTGAATTCAATTTATAAAATAGAAACTATTTCCTTGATTTTTAAATATATTGTGTCTACTTATTTACTATAAAAATCACTAATAGTTACTTGAAAGAGGATTTAGAAGGTACTTCAATCGAAGAATACCAGAAAAATCCCTGCTGATACTCATAATGAAACATCAATTTTCTAATTTCTAAACATTTCTTAGATTCCACATCACTGAATTTTCGAACAGAAAATGATTGATTTTATCATGAATATGTTTGATTTGAGAAAAAGTGACCCTTGTCATAGAGACCTAAAGTATGAAGGTTTAATTTACTGGAAGAGCAAAAAATCTGCAATATTTGGTTTTAGTCGCATTATAAAACTTAGTCTATGGCAAAAATGTATTTCAGTTCAACTACTGAATGTTAGGGGGTTAAAAATTAAACACAAAAAAACAACAATAAGGAACTGTGTGTTTATGACAAATATGTTTCATCTTGCGGATGCCTAAAGCATTGCTTAAAGCTAGACAGAACAATATATTTAGTTGACAAAGCAAAGAATAAGCAATTTTTCTAGATACGACGAGGGTTTTAGAAAAGGCGAATCCGACGTTTCAGTTCGTTCCTTTTCCATTGTGGTATCCTATAGAAATCTGCTCTCGCAATTTGAAACAGCGCTTCAAATTCTTGATCCGACAGATGTCTCTGAAAAAGTTATCACCATATTAGCACCGATTTGAAGTTTGTGACTTGTTTGGGTTGTTTGACTTTTAATTGCGATTGGCCAATCATCAACGCGAATTTCTAAACACATAATTAGGCCCGTATTCAAAAGAAGAATTTTTTGCAACCAATTCCAAAACTATTCTTTTTGAATTACGTTCGTAGTCTGCAAAATATTGGATTGAAAGTGAGAGCTTTTATAGGCGATATAGGATCTAGCAACATATCACTGATAGTGAATTCCATTGGCAGAAACTGGTGGTGTTTCTGCACTCAATGTATATGTTTCCTTCTTACTCGCATGTGTTAAACAGATGTGAATATACAGTCAGTGGAGAAACACTCCACCAGTTCCTGCCAAAGGAATTCGCTATAAGTAATGTAGTAGGAATAATACCTAACAATCAATTTTTCTTCTGATATACTAATGATTTCAAGTATTAGGGCCAAATTGGTTCATGGAAGTATATTGAAGAGATGTATAATATAGATAGTAAACTATCTAATAGGCACCTAAATTGACAGATGTCCATCCAGAAAAAAAAACAGGTCAAAAATGAAAGTATCAGCACAAATCTTCAATGATACTGTTGCATGAGCCATTGGGTTATTCATGAGTTTGGGACATCTCACACTTCAAACTACGGAAACAAAAAACGTTATTACGATGGTTGATAAGTTGTTCGATTTATTCAATTCTCGAACACATAAAACCATAAAAGTATTCAATAAAACCTTTTAATGATAATGAACATCGAATAGGTATTTCTTAAAGGTGTTTTGAATTATTTAGAAAACGTAGAGGGAATTAGCACAAAATCGCATGAAAATGTAACAAAATCATCAAATCTATGAGGTATTGGCAGATTTCTATCAAATGTTCGATTGGGCTCTGGAATGAGATTTAATTAGAAGGTTTCAACTTTTTATCAACGAAACGGTTTATTCAAAATGGCCTAGAAAACTTCTTTGGAACAATGAGGAGACAAGAGGGACGTTCTTTTATTCACCGGTGGCTCCATCAATCCACCAACTGTGTTCATCAATGTTGCCAGAGCTGGTACATTTGTATAGATTCAGTACAATCTATACCCCTTAGTACATTAGTACATTTCACCCAATTCTGGTACAATTGCATGTTTTGGACAGTACATTCAGCTCAAATTTAGTACAATTGAACATTCATTACACAAAGCTATAAAAAAAGCGAAAGTATGAATGACTAGCAGATATTCTTATTTCTTCAGTTGGCCTGACTAATCTGCTATGGTCATCACCCGTCAGTATATTCAGTTCATAGTTCAACGGGCTGACCATAATGCGAAACATCATGACATCAAACTTAAACTGTCACTACTGTAGGGTTTTCTGATGTTTTTTAAAAATATTTTATGTTTATTCATCTTTTATGGATGATGCTGTATATATTTTGTTTTTTTCAGATTTTTTTTGTGACGTAGTAATTTTGTATGGATGACACTATATATGTTTTGTGTTTTTCTGGGTATGTACCTGATAAAACCTTTTTTTGTGACGGGAAAAAAGTTTGAAATTTCATCTCTGTTGACAGATCATAAAATATCACTTTTCATAAATGATTTTTTTCCAAGAGAAATTCAGAGCCTCGCTGTTCGTTGGATGAACGAGTTTTTGGAAAGAGATGTTCTGCAGGTCTTCAAAGTGACCACGAAGGGGTGCGAAGCCTCAACTCGCGGGGACTGCCAAGGGAGGAACAATTGTTTATATTTCAGAAGAGCATCGTCCATGAAAATATCTATAAAATAGAGCCAGATCGCCAACTGTTCTACGGTGTTCCAGAGAAGTGAGTGAGTTTGTGAGCGAGGCATCACCCACGAGACGAATTGCCCTTTTTTGGACAGAATCCAACAGTTTCAGGGTATGTTTGGGTGCTACACTCCAAATATGGGAGCAGTGTTCCAGGACAGTCGAATCTGTGCCTTATACATCATAAGCTGCTGACTGAAAGTGAAATAGCTCCTGGCACGAAACAGAAAACAAAGTTTTTGGGATGCACTTTCAGCAACTGATCTCACGTGATTTTCTCAAGAAAGGGTATTACTGATAGTAATACCAAGCATTGAAATTGATGTCTCCAAAGGTATGATTACTCCTGACAACGCTCATGTTGGGCACAGTGAGATCAGCCTTTCTAGAGAAAAAGCATGCTTGTGATTTGTTTGCATTGAAATCTACCAAGTTATTGGATCCCCATTCGAGAATTGTTGCCAAGTCCATATTTATGTTTTCAACGTTTCTTCCTCGTTCGTTTCTGATTTGGCTGGCTGCTATTGGAGCCCTGGAAGAGAAAGCGATATGGAGGGTACTATCATCCGCGAAGCTGTGTACTGGACATGAAGTTGCTTCCAACAAATCGTTGATATCGAGTAGACATGGTGTTGGGGCTAGAATTGATCCTTGCGGAACACCAGCATTTATGACAAGAGTCAGATGAAACTCCGTCGACCACTACATGGAGAGACCTGTTTGAGAGAAAACTAACTAGCAGGGAGCATAGCTGGGGAGGCAAGCGATAAGATGGAAACTTGGCGAGGAGTCCGTGGTGCCAGACTCGATCGAACGCCTTGGAGATATCAAGTGCCACGGCTAAAGTTTCATCATATTTCTCAATAGATTGCTGCCATATATGTGAGACGTAAGCGAGCAGGTCACCAGTTGATCTCTGATGACGGAAGCCATATTGCCTATCGTCGATAATACCTGAATAATCCAGGTATTTCATGGGCTCGATGTTGATAGCTTTTTCCATGCTCTTTGAAATAATAGATAGCAGTGCGATCGGTCTGTAGTTGCTAGGTAGGGTCTTTTTGCCTTTTTAAGGAACTGGTTGTACTCTTGCAATTTTCCAGTTGGATGGAAATATCCCCAATTTGTAATAGTAGTTGAACAACTTGCAGAGAACAGGTGATAGTTCGGGAGCACATTGTTAGTTCGGGGTGCATAAATTACCCTTTACTTGAGAATTCTCATCACGTTTACAACTGTGTCCGGTTCCTATCGTGTATCCCTGTATCCACATATTTTCCTACTTTCACCAGCAGATAGAGTGCCGAATCTAAAATTGAACTCTGGCAACGTCTCGATATCAATCTAGCGGAAATAACGTGATCCCAGATATATCATGAGCTCGATGTTGATAGCTTTCGTATCACGAAAACGACTCACCTCCAAGTTGCACCTGTCGACGTCGGCGGGCAGACGGTAGTTAGTGATGATCAACAAGTGGTAGGGGTAGATCTTGGCCGGCTCGTTGATCAGCAACGTGTGCGCCATGTTGGGCAGCGAGCGTCGCACTTGAGACGCGCACGCGTTGCCCGGGTAGCGGCCCAGTCCGCCCGCGTACGTGTTCGACACGGGCATCTCGGACGTCTGCAACAGATAATCCGATCGAAACGCGCGAAAGACGCTTAGGTAGATTTCTCATCGATTGTGTACGAGGATGGGGTTATTTATTTATTTCAGTTATTGCATTACATTCTTTTATTCATTGATACATTTTATACAAATAATATATAAAGTTTAACTAATTTTCTGGTAGTAATGACATACACTACACTGTTTTACCACTAACCAAACCGATTTTTCAAACGCCTCGACACGTGTTTCGCTAACTATGTTAGAATCTTCAGGAGAAGATTAAAACTAATAAATTAAAACTTTTTCGCAATATCTCAAGAAAAATTGAATATAATTCATTCAAATTCGCAATATGGTTTCATCTTTCAATGGTTAAATTTTTTGACCAGAAAGACATTCCGTGAATTTTACCCAGAGGTGCGCTACAGAGGGTTGTGATAACTTTTCCTCCCATATTTTCTACGCCACTGATGAAATTTCGATTATTTCCAATATCTCGAATTAATTATGTTGAAAAACTGCATCATATTCAACTGAGCTAAGTGAACAGATATCGAGATATTTGACCCAAAATAGACGTTTGCATAGTAATTTTTCATCTTCTTCAGTAGTAGCAGATTACAAAAAATTGTGTTTTCTCTTAATGCGTGGAATAACTATTTCTGGTCAGCTACAGAATGAGATCTGAATAGTATCTAATCTACTCAACACCAGAAAAATATTTTTGCAATTTTCTACTACTGAAAATGATGGAATATTATTATGAAATATTCTATTTTGGGTCGAATATCTCGGAAACTGTTCATTTCTCAAAAAGCTCTCCCATGCAGTTCTTGCTTCAACATGTGATAGTCTGTCTTTCAAAGTCTTCATCGTTGACGAGTTTGTACCAAATTCCTCATCTTTATCCTTCAGTGATTTGAAAAAATGTGAAAAATTATATTCTTTTTTTTTTCATTTTCTATAATTGAACATTCTTGCCATTGGGTATCAATTTCTTTTCAGTCATCCATGCATCAATCTCAGTTTCATTAATAATATTCAGATGGTATTGATTTATGTTTACCTTGATTTGTTTATAATTTAAACAACCCAAAAATATCATCTAAATTGCTCGCCTGAAAACGCTTCTTCTCAATGCGCAGGACATTCCAAATCGTCATGTCTCTTGGTGTTCGGAAACAAAAGTGATAATGAATAAGATATATGCAAGGTCCTGAACGCGAAGGATCCACTAAAACCAAGATCGATCTAATAAATAATTGATCTCATGACATTAGCGGTCTAGTTCGTAATTTATGTCGGTGCTATAAGGTGTCAACTTGTCATTTTATCGGAAAGTGTACACAAAATGAGAAATCTACCATAAAACGACAATTAAATAACATTCAATATTCAAGCTAAAAATTCAGGAACAATATTGAATATTACTAGAAATGGATTTGGTGACATTTTATCTACAGTGAATCTAATAATTATTGACTGATTGATTGATACAAAGTATTGTGCATGAAGATTTAATATTTCAATGGTCCCATTAAACAAAATATAAAAGAACAAACTATTTTGATGAATAATTAATTCGATTCTTGAACAAATGATAGATCAAACACGAATCTTGAATCAGATATCGAAACGAGTGTTGAGTTGATGTTGAAATAGGCTGACAGCAGAAAAAGCGATATTCTAGCCAGAGCGGTGTTATAAAAGCATTATTTACATACCAGGGCACATCTTTCGACGTCTGTGATGGATCCGGTGGAAACTGAAGAAAATGCATTAATTGTACATACATATTCGCTCATCACAATCAAATATCATTGAAGTAAGAAAATGTTACATTAGGTGAGTCAATGTGGTTCATTATAGTATATTATTATGTATTAATTTGGGGGATTGGAAACTAGCATCGTATGATTTTCAAAATATGATTCAAAACACAATTTGTTTTGTTAACGTTTATACAGATCTGTAAAATGGTTATACTGATCAGACAAGTTAATCAATATTTGAAACCATAACCAAATGACATGCAATAGTAGAGTAGGTATTTTCGTGGTGCATAACCAATGAGGACTAACATTATTTTTGGTCCACCACATCGCGCCACTAACACGTGAGGTCTGAGTAGGTAGAACTGATAAAACATATTTCTGGCCTTCTTGGCCTCTTCCTGCGATATTTTCTCCCATCAATGTAATAATTGGTAGTGAAATTCCACATTGAGAGTGAAAAAACGTAATCCTGTCCAAGTCTTTCCATATTTTGAGGTTTTCTATTTGTTCAAATATTCAACATAAAATTTAGAGATTTTTGACTTTGACATTGACCTCATGTTTTAGTAGCGCCAACTGGTGATACTGAAAATGTTAGCCCCCATTTCCAGATACTAAAAAACCATAATCCTCATTTTGAAAGGTCAACATTACTTCTGCCATAAGGAAAACATGATAAATCATATCTCTAGATTTGTGGGATTTCCTCTTTTCCTTTCTACGAACATAGATCTATGAATAAAAACATGAGTATTATTTCAATATACAGTTAAAAGTCCTTCCCCCTTTCAACTTTTGAACGAAACACGCTAGCAACGTCGGCAAAATTCAGGTAAAAACGTACCAGTTTTACTACTTTTTCAAATGTTTGTGATAACGTGGTCTAGTGACAAGACGGCACCATCAACTTTTTTTTTCAAATGTATAGCGCGGTCACATGGTACATGGTTTTGAAGGCATTTCCGTTCTCTATCCAACGCCTCTTTGTTGTAATTCAGCCAAGCAGTTTCGAACAAGCGCTTGAAGTTCACCTTGGAAACTTGAATTAACGTTCGGAATGAATTCCAAAACCGATTTTTTTTTCTGTCAATAAGTGAACGGTGAACATTTCGAGCATTTTGGAGCACTTGTTACAATAATTGTTACTTAGAATTTTGTTGTTATTTTCAGAATATTTCAAGCAAAATTCAATTAGAATATTTCAAGCAAAATTCAAACGCTTGTCAGTTTGAAACGACTTGGCCGATTTGCACAAAGGAAGCGTTGTTGGATAGAGAATCTGTTGGAAAGCAGGCTTTTTGCTGACGGAAAACTGGGTGGAAATCAAAGTAAAAATAACGCAGGTAGCTCAGTGTTTCAGAACGTGTACTCGACTGAAGAAACGAAAAACAGTGACACCTATACAGGAAGCTATACATGAACTGTACAACATCTTACAGTGTTCTCTAACTCTAAAAGAATCAACAGACAAGTGCTTAACGTAGCTAAGCCTGAACAATCAGAGATGGCACTGCATGCCTATTGCATATGAATTAATTTTCAATATAATCCAACAGAATCGAAGGGCCTTCAAAACGACAGAACTTTCAAAACCGGGTACCACGTGACTCTCCTTTACATTTGTGATAAAAGTTGATGGTGCCTTCTTGACACAATGCCACCTAGCTACAACCATTTGCATGCAAAAAGGTAGCAGAAAAGGTAGCTTTTTGCCTGTCCCTACGTCCTCAATGTATACCGGGTGGTTAGGACAAATCAGATGGGTTCGCCATTATCTCATATTCTGAATATTGAAGAAGAAACGATAAAAATACAGAAATAAGATGGAGAATGGAGATAATTAGATGACGTCATATATTGGCCACATAACATTATGGAGTTAGGTGATTTTCAGGGTCATGTGATCTGATTTTTCATTACCACACATACAGTGTGTGCGATTTCAACCGCCAACACCCTCCTAATTTGCAATCCGTTGACCAATTTTCAAACATATCATACTAAACAAAATTGCTTCGAATGTGGACAAATCTGAAATATTCAAATTTTCAAGACCGAATATTGTTCCAAGAATTTCCCAAAAAGTTGGCAGTCTATTCAATTCTGACGTTAATGAAATGTATTGTCAAAATCAGAAAATTTGAATGAAAAAGCGCGGGACGACTATGGTGCTCTTGTCACAATGCAAGGTGTGTAACTTACTAAATCTGAACATTCAAAAACACTTACAGTTGTCATTTCTGTGTCCGAACTCTTATTTAACTAATACCATCCAGTGACTAAAATTGTTATAGTTTGGAGAGAAAAAATGGATCATAGTAATAAATTTGTCAACTTCAATTTAATAAATTCTTGGTTGACCTAAAGAGATCATCCTGTAGAAGTTACAATGATGAAACTTCGCATCTAAGTATTCGATGTGTTCCTACATGGAAAGACTTCTTCTCCGGTTATATCAACTCTTCACATTTTGATACAGGGTGAATTGAAAAACCAAAAATATCAAAATTTGCCATTGAATAATTAACACCCTATATGAGGTATTCATTTTTATGGTGGTATTTCAGCTATGCCTGAATCGAATAGACTATATGCTTTTTCGAAGAAAAACTGCCCAATAGTCGTTTTTGAAATTTTGCCCCATTCATCGATAGTAGGTTTCGAAAATGTGAATACTCATGTCAGATTTGTCCACATTTTCAAAGAGAGCTCGTTGAGTTGTATATTGTCGAATTTTTGTTTTTGGAAATCGGTCAACAGATCCCAAATTAGAAGGGTGTTGCGAGTTGAAATCGTATATTGGAATAATACTAATATTTTTATTTGTAAAAAGTAGAGAAAATCCCAAAAAATCTAGAGAAACGAATATTTCCCTTCCTCGGTTGACCTACAGACAGTAAAGTAAATTATTTCTATCTAGCTACTGAGGGTGTTCACAATAAACTTTAATATTTTTTCTGCTTAAAATATCGAAATGTGAAAAATTCACAGATGGATAATGTCAGTTGTTTGACACTTTTCATCATTTATATTAGAGGTATTGTTCGGAATTCTACAACGAAAATTATCCCCAATAACAGTATTTTGAGGAGAAAAGAGAAGCTGCTCGAAAAATAAATTTCTAGCATATATGTGAACTCCCTCTTTAAATGAATACCGATCCTGAAAATGTATCTTTTGGTATCTATAACATTTCCAAAAAAAAAATCCATCGACTTCTCGAGAAGCAAAAAGAAGCGAATAGGTAATGAAACTAAAAATAAAGGACCAACAGAAAACGTTATACTTACTATCTGATTTTCCGCAACTGAAGTCAGTACTATGAGTTTTAGCACCCATTCCAGAGAATGAATAATCACCCTGTGAATAATCAACTTATTATTATCAATACTTTCATACCATCAATGTATCACCAATGGACAAATGAGTAATACTTTCAACAGGAATGATATTTCATGTTTAAATCCAAGATGATTTAGAACATACCAAGAATATACATTTTTAAAATGTATAACATCTGAAAATAAATAGATATAATTTCGAAATTATTAATATCAGGTGATCTGAAATTCTATACTAGAGTCTACATTGAAAACTTCCTGATTGATAAAAGTAAAAAAAAAATACTGACTTTTTTCAGCACTACGGTAGTTATCTTTTTCCACCACTAGCTATAGAACCTACCATTATTTACTCTTTTTCAAGGCATCAAGTGTGTTTTTTCACCAAGGTAGTTTTCGTCATTTTATGAACTACTAAATAGTCAATGAAGACATGGCCACCTATGTTATAATCAACCCGAATTCATTGTTCTCATGCGATATTCACAAGAATGGCACTCGAATCTAGTAGGTATTTATCAATACCGACTTGTCATATGTCATGGTGACTAGATTTTAATTAGAATTGAAAAGAAGTGCTTTCAAAGTGACAATAAGTCTATATTTCAGTTTCACAGAACTAATGATTGAAATATACAGGGTGTTTCATAATTGAATGCTGATCCTAAAGGGCGATAATCCTTGGATGATTTTTAAGAAAAATTCTTCATGTGAGCATAGGTCCATAACGGCTTCGTTTCTAAGATACAGGATGTTGAAATTTAACAAAAAAATCAGTTATTCCCCAATATCTCTGAAACCACTCGGGCTTTTTTCTTCATTACAAAAACTCAAAAATAGTTACCATAAAATTATAAAAATATTGCTTAGATCTTTTGGTTACCACAATTGTGAAATTATGACTAAGAGTAAAAATCGAATAGGGACAAGCAAATGAATGCATTTTATTTTCTAACTCAAAAACCGTTCGCTGGACGAAAAAAAGACAAGAGACCATTTTTATGAGAAGATAGAGGATAATTACAAAAATAATATTTATTTAGAAAAAAGACAGTGGCGTATCATTATTCTGATGAAAAATATGACAGGGTATGTTAACAGGGACGCCACTGATGGGAATTAAGAAATCCTTCATTATGGAAAAAATGTATTTCTATTCATACTTGGCATGTACCAAAATTGAAGAGAAAAGCCAGAGCGATTTCAGAGATATTGCGGAATAACTGATTTTTTTGTTAAATTTCAACATCCTGTATCTCAGAAACGAAGCTGTTACGGACCTATGTTCACATGAAGAATTTTTCTTAAAATCATCCAAGGATTATCGCCCTTTAGGATCAGCATTCAATTATGAAACACCCTGTATTGCTAGTGATGAAAAAAGTTCAATATACACCTTGGTAGTGAAGGCTATTATTACCACGGGACCATATTCTCAATGATATATTATTCTACAACTCTAATAGTCTATTGAAAAATATAAACAGAACAAACAAATATTGGTCAGTCCAATTTAAAGTGATCGATATTTCTGGAACTACAAATTGCCCAGCAAATATATTACTCTTGCCCATAAAAGGTTCAATCACACGAAACAACAAACATGCAAAGCCTAAATAATCTGTTCTAATTATTGAGTGATTGATTATCTTCAATATCCCAAGAAACTATGGAGTTCATAATACACACACCGGCACAATTATGGGATTGGCTTGATTAAAACGGTTTCAATCTACTCCTGAAGATGCTACCATAGTTAGCGAAACACGTGTCGAGGCGTTCATTAAGAATCGGTTTGGTTAGTGGTAAAACAGTGTAGTGCGTTAAGTTAGTGTTATTGTTATTGAATGAAGGCTTTGAGAAAACTACCTCTTTTTTCATCACCTCTTGATATTCCTGAGAATTCTTGACACAATAGACTGATAAGTAAAACTGATAGCAATATTCAACTTGAAGAGGAGATTTTCACCGAAACAACTTGAGAAACGAGTTTCGAAGTGGTGAAATTAAGACCAATCTCCACCTTTTCTTTGAAACTCTGTATGTCCATGAATAATTGAGATATCGATATGAATAAAAAAAGAGAATGTTCGGGAAAGATCAAGCTACAATTTTGTGATACAGACTGGTGTCAATTGTCCGTGATTCACTCCACAGGATGTCTTGAGAATTACCGAAAAATCCGTACTTTCTTTCCACCTCTGTATATGATATAAAGACGAATCATTTGAAGGTGTTTGTTCGACACATGTATATGTGCAGATTCAAGCTATAATTCATGAAAAAACAAATTGAAATCGAGCGATGGGTTAGGAGCAAATTGATATCAAATTTTGTGTAAATTTTGTCAGTTCACATAATTGTGCCTGTGTGTATACATACATACTGGATGAAAAAGGGATGAAACATAAATAATGAAAAAAAAAGGAAAGAAAGAACAATGACAAGAATGAATATGTAATATAATTATCAATTTCAAGTTCCCAGACAGGTATTTTTTCAGATGCTTAGATGCTTTCTGCATTTTCTTGCTAACTTCATATTTTCCATTTTGTTTCTTTAATTAAAATAGAGCTAACATCCACATCGGGTATCAGCTGCATTTAGGATATAAAACTGATACGGTGATCATAAAGTTGAACGAAAATTGGGTCAAATGAAAAATGTTTTTGCATGCCGGTATCACAACTCAAAAATAAATCAGATTTAAAAGGAATGACAATGTTCATTATCATTATGTTATCAATAAGGTATCAAAAAAATACTCAAAAAAATATAATTCACGAAGTTGAGACAATAATCATCGGGTGATTCCGTTTTCATTTGATATGTCATGTAAATAAAAAGACGAAACAAAAACTATAACCATCATGCGGTAACAACAAAAAATTAAATAAAGAGGAACTAGCAAAATTGCTCCCAACAAATAATGACATAACTATCCGTTGGGCAAACAATTTGTCAATGTTGCTCAGTCAACCAATACGGTGCATCTTCACCATAGTGAAGCAATTTTTTGACTGGAATTCGTAACAGGTAAAACAAATTGCTCTGTGAGTTTCTCTTTGCAGTTAGTTTCAATTCTCAATTCACATTGAGAAGGATGTAAAGTATTCACCAATTTCTTTCTCCTAGTTGAGATATGATGTAGGAAGACAACAAATTATCGGTAAGAAATGAAACATAGAGCTATAATAACTTTTTTCATGTTTGAAATTGAATGTAGGTACGACTTATACCTGGTGACACAGACTCATGGTATACCCTCCGTTTCTCCTTCATTTTCTAGCTTTATTCCTGAAATTTGGAATAAATCAACTTTCGATTTTCACATAGTTCAAGGTTGACAACGAAAGGAAGTGCTGACTGCGCTTATCGAGTTCGTCTGACTGGTATTGCATATTCGACGTTCCAAATTTCAGAAATATAACAAGAGAAACAAAGGAAAATAGGGGGGTATACCCTAGTAAGAGATATGACTGGAATGAATATTTCTAGCTTTCACCTCATTACCTCTAGTCACAGATTACCAAATCGTCAATATGTCACTAGAGTTTGTCTGTAACACTATCAGTATCGCTACTGGTAGACAGCATTAACTTCACAAAGTAACGATTTATATAAATTATTAATTCGAATTTGAAATTATAAAGATCAAAAAACAGATCTAACTTCTGACATTTCTAAAGAACATTGATCCATATGTGACGATGAACTAATCGCTCATCAGGTTGTTCACCAGGTAAATTAAGCTACACAAAATTTTCCACCACTGGTGTTGATGGACCAAATTGGTGAATCTAGCAACAGAGTGTACCATTGCCATTGTCACAAAACATACAATCAAAAGTGAACGTGGCATTCCCATATAACTTCTAATACCTATATGGAAAACGTCGATTGTTATCCAATCCGAATAAGTGAAGCCAACTGTGAAAAAAAACGAATGATTGTTACCGCGGTCGATACGAACTCATATCATTGAGCAAGGAAATAGTAATTGTTGATGGGACACTGGGAGTGTGTGAGATCTGAAAGCAAATTGAAATGTTCGATAGCTTACCAATCGATTATATCTACTAGATAAGGTTGCTTAAGTTAATCCTATTTGTAATGTTGTTTCATGAACCTAGCTGGTCTGTCTATAAAGATGGAAAATTCGATATATTTTTAGTTCTCCTCCTAATCACACATATTCGCGATAGAAAATAAGCGATAGGTGGCTATCGGAGTTCTTGAAAGCTGTCAAAGCGGCATGTTTACTTTGTTTTTATTGGTTCACATTTGTTTCTTGTTTGTTCTTATTGGTCACATCATCAAAATAAACCGCTCAGAAGTGTTCAAGCTGTTGCCGTGAGGTGGAGCGGCGTGTTATTTTCTATCGCGAATCATGAAGCAACTCTTGCTGTGTTTTGTTAAGAAGGACATACCTATATATTCTATCTCAAGTGTTGGCATATCAGTCAGTTTTCTTTTCGAAATAAATGAACATCATGACTTACATGAAGAATTCATTTCTGCTGTTTCCTTGAGGCACAGATCATTTGGTACATGGTACATAATAGTATATTGTTTACCGAGCACGGAATGACAGTCATTTCCTACGAGTATGAAGTTTGAAGCATGAGCCGTACTCATGGATGTGTCAATTATAATTATAAAGTGCTTTCTAAAACTGGAGAACAGACAACACATTCCAGTTTATCATTCTATAGTATATTCCAGATAATAACATAGTTGATGGCATACCTGGACGAGCTTGCTTTACACTAGTAAACCCGTCAAATACAATTTGAGAAACAACCAGAGTATACTTTGCACAAAAAAAGAAATGACTAAAATCATTAGTTTTTGAATGCATAATGAAAATAGTACGAAATGAAGTTATAGGATCTTGTCTTTTTGCCTAATGGACCGGTAGTGACAGACTATGGAAACAGCTGAATATCCCATTCCTAACTGCCCTGTGATTATTGCACTTGAATACCCACAAAAAGAACCACTGATTGAACACTGACAGTCAATCGCCTCAACTTTTGATTCTATTTTAGATGGTCATTAGATAGCCGACCGGTCAACTTTTTTTTTTTTTTTTTATCGCTTGGAGCGCACGAAAGGGAATCCCTATAATGTTCAAAGAACATCGTGCGTTCCTTGGGAGGATAGGGACAGGAGGTAGGTATTGGAATTGTTTTTGAACTTTTGGAGATTATATGTTGTTGGGAATACTTCCACAGGCAATGAATTCCAGAGCCTAGCCGTTCTATGGATGAAGGAGTCTTGATAAAGTGCTGTTCGACATCTTTCGAGGTTGACAACGAAAGGATGTGCTGACTGGGCTTGTCTAGTTCGTCTGATTGGTATTGCTAGTGAAGGGATGATAGCAGAGATTTCCGAAGAACATTTCCCGTGGAAGTATCGATAGAAAAGTGAAAGGTCGCCGACCTTTCTACGATGTTCCAGTGATGTCAAAGAGTGAGTGAGTGTGGCGTCACCCACCAGGCGAATGGCTCTTCTCTGGATGGAATCTAAGAGCATCAGTGTATGTTTTGGTGCTGAACCCCATATGTGGGAACAGTATTCAAGAACAGGCCGTATCTGCGCTTTGTAGATCATGAGAAGCTGTTGAGGTGTAAAGTAGCTTTTCGCACGGAACAAGAATCCGAGTTTTTGTGAAGCAGCTTTTGCGATGGATCTGACATGATTATCCCATGAAAGAGTGTTGCTAATGGAAATACCGAGCATAGATATGGTGGGCTTGGTGGGGATGGTGGAGCCAGACATTACAATATCGGGCATACTGAGTTCCGCCTTTCTAGAGAAAATGCAGGCTTGAGTTTTGGTGGCGTTGAATTCAACTAGGTTGTTTGTTCCCCAGGCTGTGATTTCAGCAAGATCTTCATTGACAGCATTGACCTGCCTGCGCCGTGAGTTCTTAGTTTCCTGGGAAGAAATTGGAATTCTAGAAGAGAACGCAGTATGGAGGGTACTATCATCTGCAAAGCTGTGGATGGGGCAAGTTGTTACTCCCAACAGATCATTGATATGAAGCAGGAATAATGTTGGTGCCAAAATTGATCCTTGTGGAACGCCGGAATTGATGCCAAAGGTATCAGACGATACACCGTCCACCACCACGTGAAGCGATCTGCCTGAAAGAAAACTCGATAAGAGATGGCATAGCTGAGGTGGTAAGCCGTATGATGGTAGTTTGTGGAGGAGTCCTTCGTGCCAAACACGGTCGAATGCTTTCGAAATGTCCAACGCGACAGCTAGAGATTCCCCGTGTTTTTCTATTGAAGATTGCCATAAATGGGTGACGTAGGCAAGTAGATCTCCAGTAGATCTTCGGTGGCGAAAGCCGTATTGTCTATCATTGATGAGTCCTGAGCTCTCCAGATATTTGATAAGCTCAATATTGATGGCTTTCTCCATCACTTTGGAGATTACTGATAACAGGGCAATGGGCCTGTAGTTGTTGGGCAGGTTCCTGTTCCCTTTTTTGGGGATTGGTTGGACTCTAGCTGTCTTCCAGCATGATGGAAAAATACCCGACCTGTACGAGATGGTAAACAACTTGCAGAGAATCGGTGTTAATTCTGGTGCACATTTTTTGAGGATAATGGGTGGAATTCCATCAGGACCGTTAGCCTTATTTGTTTTGAGACCAAGCAAAATTCGTCTGATAGTGCGTTGACGGAAGACGATTTCGGGCATTCGACTCTCAACGGGTGGAATGTCTGGCGGCAGTTTTCCTTGGGAATCTAAAGTAGAGTTTGCTGCGAACATCTCTGCAAAAATATTTGCTTTTTCCTGCGATGTTGTTGCTAATGTGCCGTCGGATTTGGACAGTGGTGGAAATGAACTATTAGTGACTAACCACTTCCATAACTCTTTAGGCCTGTTCGTTTGTGCTTCCTCAACCTGCTGAACTTGATTTTTTTCTATGACTTCCTTTATTTACATCATGGCATGAACAGAGACAACTATGGGAAGAAGATCAAATTTGGCCAGTTTAGCAATACAAACGAACGAACAGCACTTGTCTTACTGCATGCTTTATTCTTAACTGGAATGTACTATAGCAACTGACAGTGAATCAAAATTCGGTGATGTATGTTGCGTTTGAATACAAATAATTGTGTCACCTTGGTTCACCTTCCATTTTACACTAGCCCTTGCGCACAAATCGATTAAGACATCTCCGATTTTCATTCGTTTCATTTTCTGGCATCGCTCTTTGAGTCCCTCGTTATCCATATAGGCATTATTAGATACATGGTCCTTCCAATTAATGGACTTACAGGGATTTGGGGAACGGAACTACCGGCTGACGTACTGAACGTGTATGACCTGGGAGCCAAACCGTAGCCGGGCTTGGGGACGTGACGCAGCGCACTCACAACTGTACACGAACAATGACAGAATGAGGGGGGGAACAGACAAAGCTCGAGTTCGAATGGATGATGGAAAATCGTACCGTACATTGAAAATTCATCCATTTCCTATCTACTAATCATGTGAAAGAGTTTCAAATTCATTCAAATCTTGTGGGATGGATTGAATTGCTTCAGGTCAGAGCAGACTTTTTGAGTCATCGTCGAACAAGGTATTGAATTGAAAGAAGGCTGTGACTATTGAGAAAATTTGAAAGTACCATTATTGAAATGGTCTCAAAACAATTTATTCAACATTATATGAGGTATTGGAGTTATTGTTAATGAATATGGACACTAAACAGTCTACTGCAGACTTTTTTATACAATTATTTGGCATATGTACAACGATTCTCTTATTCTCTTGTGTCTTCAATTTCGTCTAAATCTCATCAGTGGGGTAGCTTGTATTCTATTTTACCAACAAAAAGTCTCTTCTACGAGCTGAATTCAGTTTCTTGATATTTTGTTACTTCATTTGCCTTCTTTTCAGTATACTTATATGAACGATAAAAAAATACAGTGCTGCCATAGGAAAGTTGTCTAATCAAATATTTCCCAGATCTATCTGATTATAATTTGAAACTCTTCCATGCATCCGCAACTTATTAATAAAATACTTACATATCCATTGCTAGCTGGTAAAGTTGACGATTTTAGTCCATAACCAGGCCTAGGTACCATTCGTAAAGACGATACTACTGTACAACATGCAAAAAATATTGTGCAAATAAAAGAAAATCAAAATGAATCGAAGCTAGCATGCATTATAGGGAATTTTCATTGTAAAACGTTAATCCCTGACCAAATAAATCGAATTTACAGAAAGCAAAATAATAAAGTAGCTTTAACATACCAAGAATCATAACATTGCTATCCTGATTAAATTAGAACTTAATCAAACTGTTTTCAAAATTGAAGTCATTCAAAATGTATGAATTATGAACAACCTGGTATGTTAATGTTTTACACAGTGTGTTTCCAAACTTCTCGGCGGTTACTTGATGCAAATCCATACTCCTTCTTTTTTCTTCATTCATGGTTCTAGAATGTCAATTTCACCAGATCCAGTAGTGGAAAAATCCATACTAAATATGAAAAGCTTCACAAACGAGGAAATTCACATATAATTCTTAAAATTACATGTTGCATTGACAGTTATTGCGCCTGATTAACGAAATGAAGGATGCAGGTTACTCTATTCTTTCAATTTGAATATACACATTGCTTGTTCAATCGTTACACATAAGGTATGTGAATGGCAACATAGCAAGAGACTACTGTCTGAAGGTGTAACGATTCGATGAACAATCGGTATATAAATAAGGAAATTCAGTGTTTTGTTACTTTGTTGTACAAATATTTCAATTGTAGAAGCTAGTGTGTTAGCGAAACAACGTAATTTTAATATTCTTTCAAGAATTCTTATCGTTTGTGAACTTTATATTTTATCTCAATGAATAGCAAAAGTATCCTATTATATTCTGCCAAAGTGATATGTTAGAAATTTGAAAACACACTGATTAACTGTTCGAAATAAATATAAAGCCTTAGCTTAGTTTATGAGGATTCTATACAATATGTGTCAACAGCTGATGTGTATGTACATTTAAAATGTATAGATATATGAAACATTACCATTATCAATATACAAGTATTCAAGTTTTGAATTGCAGATAAAAATTATCAGTGTTCAGGAAGTACGAACAGAGCATGTTCCGATATTCCCGAACTGCCCAGTCTATTTTATCGTTCCCATTTTACTGAAACTTACTGGCAAGTTTTCGTGGGTCATTGCAAGGAACCCTGTGAGAGGTTAAAAATTTACTGTTGGCCACTGGTGCAAAAATGGGGATGTAGTGCCAGTATTCATGAAATGTTAAGTTTAGCGTTTGAATGGTTAGGTATGAGTTGATAAAAATCATATACTATTATTTTCAAATACTTTGATGGGAAAATGTATAGCGTCGAACTGGGAGATCTTACAGCGGCAGTATAGACGCTAAAACTTCCACTAATGTACAAGATGGTTTGTTATTACCACTATTGATATCAAATATTTCACAGCCATGCTGCATTTCTTCATCACTGGAACTAGAAATACTAGAGCTTGATATTTCTGATGAATCAGAATCACTATCAGATAATATGTCTCCTAAGATAATATGATTACACTCCATCCATGACTTCAACGTGAGTAAAGAAGATAAGAATGATGAAAATGAAAACCGACAAAACAAAACATCGAAAAGCGAAAGATCATAGGTTATGGTTATGATTTGCTGCCAGTGTACAAGTAGCTTGTACCAGTAGTACTGCTAAAATCGTTCCGAAATGAGATGAAAATTCAAAACTACTGTTTATTGTTCCTAAATTGCTTACTGTGGCCAGTAATGTCAGCAATATCGGAACACGAACACAGTGTAATATCTACTGCAATATGTACATTACATTAAAATCATCAAAATTACCTCATAAATTTGAATGATCCAACCACTAAAATATTCTAGAATATATGATTGAAATGGCGAATTGAGGGATTTTACTGAATTACATTTTTTCCACAATACTTTGGAATGTACCCTACCATGACTTATTGATTACTCATATGACAATCATTCCTGAAATTAAAATCGTCTTTTTATTATATAATGATTATATCAAAAAGCACCTCCAATAATTATGTTGTTAATTGTACACTGATAGATCACAAAATTTCATGCTCGAATAACGTCAGACGATTGAACGAGCTCTGTTTCAATCCACACACCTCACCTTAACATACTTGTTCCATTTTTTGCTAGAAATCTAGATAACCCTCTTCAACACCAAATTTTACCATAGAGCCCAGACCCCCAAAATTTAACAGATCCAAACGGATGTTATCAAAGTAGGCATAAAAAGTTAATTTATATCTCCGACTGAAAAGTTTTATGCAACTATAGGTACATTATCATTAAAAAGGAGTAATATTTCATTAGGTACTTGAAAGGTTGACCAGGATACCTCAATCAACAATTTAAACATAATATAAGGCGGATTTAGCGGATGTACACACATTTTATTTCATAATTTATAAAAGTTAAACACTGTATTTCATATTAGATGATCTATCCAACTGATAAGTACTAGAGTGCACAGTAGTGATGGGCAGAATCGAGTATTTTCGAGAATCGAATCCATGGTATTCGAATACAAAGAATAAACAACGACATATCGAGTCATAACCTACCTCTACAAACTATGTTAAAAACAATTATAATAATACCAGCTATTAATTCGAACTAGAACCTGTACTACAACTCAACTGTAATTTTCTATTGCCATCCCTGTTCATGTAGTATGAGATTAACAGAAATTATCAGAGAAAAAAACTTGTAAAATAAAAACGCAATCAACTTGAGCAGTTTAGAGGTTAAGCAACACTATAAACAGGCAGATCTTTGCAGTTTTGGGTAACGTTTCCATTCGGTCGTTCGAATTTGAATACTTTGAATAGACGAGGACGAGACATCGAGACAAGACTAACGAGAGACTGAGAGAGACGACAGTCGACAACAAAAACACAAAACGCGACGCGATACAATACGAGTTCGAGTACAGTGCGAGTCACATGCTCCTTCCATCAGTTCCACCGCAGTTGCGGTAGTGGTAGGGAATGAGAATAATGAGATTCGTGGTTGCGATACTGGCGACTGGCGAGTAGAGGTATTCGAGTTCTTCCGTAGGAATCGAATACAACCGAGTTATTAAGAGAATTGAATACTTACCTATTTTTTGTACTCGAGTACCCGATCACTAGTACACAGTACACAGCATCTCATAGTGCATAACCTTGAAGTTCACAATTTTAAACTTTTATGCATATACATTGAAGTTACACATTGTGCTTGTACATTCGCTAAATCCGCCAATTAAAAATAAAATATATCAAGAATTAATGCAACTCCAGAAAAAACAAGACATTTGTAAAATGTGACAAAAATACATGAATTTCTGCTCAGGCCAGATAATACTCACGTAAGTAGAAAAAAGTCATCAATATACAGGGTGGGCCACCAGTAACGCCTCGGTCTCTAGAAGGCTAACCACTTATCTTCTTGGAATTCTTCCTCTCTAGGTAGTTGCATGTCAACATAGGCTACCATTTGAAATTATTTTGAAACATACAGGATGTCTCCAAAAATCACAAAACACTGAAGTTGAACTTTTTTCAATCGAACACCCTATATATTATTTCATTTTGAGATTCTCCCTGGTGAGCTGATTTCAACAATCCATCATACTTGGGGTCTAGCAGTTATAATTACTGAGATATAGGGTGTGAGAAATCGAGCTTTTCCAAGTTCAAGAATTTTTTGTGTCTAAACCATTCATAATTGGTCAAAACGGCTCACATGTCCCTATCTCAACTTTTGATCAACTATCTACTGACATTTAATTGAAACAAATACAGGGTGGTGCAGAATTCAGAATCTTGATCACCCGGTATATGTCCCAATTAAATATCAGTAGATAGTTAATCAAAAGTTGAGATAGGGACATGTAAGCCGTTTTGACCAATTATGAATAGTTTCGACACAAAAAATTCTTGAACTTGGAAAATCTCGATTTTTCACACCCTATATTTCAGTTATTATAACTGCTAGACTCCAAGTATGATGGGTCTTTGAAATCAGCTCATCAGGGAGAATCTCAAAATGAAATAATATATAGGGTGTTCGATAGAAAAAAGTTTAACTTCAGTGTTTTATGGTTTTTGTATGTATGTATGTATGTTTCAAAATAATTTTAAATGGTAGCCTATGTTGACATGCAACTTCCTAGAGAGGAAGAATTCCAAGAAGATAAGTGGTTAGCCTTCTAGAGACCGAGGCGTTACTGGTGGCCCACCCTTTATATGTGTCATATTAGATGAATATTTATTGTAAGTAAACTATTTCTTGTGAAACTTCATGAAATATTTGTGAATATTTTACATATAAAGAGGGCTTTGAAATATATTTTGACATTTCTCATACACTGAAAAGGACTATAAATCAAGTGGAATTCATCTCAAATTTGTTGACTCATGGTAAGTACTTTATAAAAATGATATTTACCTTTCCCTTCTTCATCGGGAAATATCTTCTTTGATATATCAAAATATGTATTTATTCAGATACTAATGTTTTTACAAATTCTCGAAAAAACAGGCATCAGTCAGTGAAATTCGTGGAATTTTAACATTGACATTGACCTCAAGCTCTATTATCGCCGACTGGTGAGATTCAAAAATGTAGCCCTAATTGAGAGAACAGTTAATTCCTTGTTCTATTGATATTTTCATAAATCAATGTGTGCTAGGATAAAGTATTTAACTGACAAAACTGTCAGCATCTCAGTTGGCTATGTCTGACAGTACGTGATCATTCATCACATAAGGCAAATGGAAATGTTGCACTGTCAATTACCCAATGATTCGTTCCTTCAGCGCGTAGCTCTCCTTTTTATGCCTACCAGAACTCACTAAACTTGTATTGAAAACCAAAATTGAATGCCAATAAATCATAAACACACTTTGTTTTCATCACTCACCGTTATAGTTAGGAATAGCACCGACCGATCTTCCCATGGAAGATCGACAGCTCAGCGATCTATCGAAGTCGTCTTCTTCGAACGGCTTCGGATGGTCCATGTTTCTAGAGGGGCTCGCGCCGATTGGGTTGTCGTATCGCAGTCTGTATTGCGGCTCTTTGTTGGCCGACGGTGTTCTGCATGGAGAGAAACAGTTGAATATATACAAAGACATATAAACACAATAAGAGACCTAATTATTTACGTTTTTGTCCGATCAGTCATCGTTCGATCTTCCTTTTCCATCTCTTTTTCTTTAATTATTGCATATTTGCCAGACTGTACGATTCTTTTGCATACATTCTGTCTTGCAATGAAATGTATATTATAACACAAAATAATGATTATACCATAGACATATAGGGGAGACATAACAGTTCATTCATAAAACACTATTTGTTTACTCAGATCATACATACTTTCAAAGTTTCAAATAAGTTAGGAAGAGATGGCTTTAGAAAATGGCAACGCTGTAAGCTTTGCGTCATTGTTCACACTTTTCTATACCAGTCGCGTAGGTTAAGCGATGGACAAGACACTTTTACTACAATGACAACGATATTATACCAATTAAAAATGTCTGGATGTAATCTTTCAATTTTAACAATGAATATTTGTGGTACTTACTTACCTACTACCTAATTTTGATCCATCATTCAATGTGAGAATTTGAACAAACAAAAAACAATGCTTCTTGGAATAATTTAGTAAAATAATCTGCGGAAACTACACCACTGCTCAAGTTTAAAAAAACATTATAACCTTTCTTACCGGCGAAATACCAATATTAGGTTTGAATGGTAAACTCTGACATATAGGGGAGACATAACAGTTCATTCATAAAACACTCATACTTTCAATGTTTCAAATAAGTTAGGTAGAGATGGCTTTAGAAAATGGCAACGCTGTAAGCTTTGCGTCATTGTTCACACTTTTCTATACCAGTCGCGTAGGTTAAGCGATGGACAACACTTTTAATACAATGACAACGATATTATTCTAATTAAAAATGTCTGTATGTAATCTTTCAATTTTAATAATAAATATTTGTAGTACTAACTTACTACCTAATTTTGATCCATCATTCAATGTGAGAATTTGAACAAACAAAAAACAATGCTTCTTGGAATAATTTAGTAAAATAACCTGCGATAACTACACCACTGCTCAAGTTGAAAAACATGATAACCTTTCTTACCGGTGAAATACCAATTTGGGGTTTGAATGGTAAACTTTTTCACAATCCACGCACGGCGAATCATAATAGACGTTCAATAATTGTCTTTATAATTTTTGTATAACAAGAAAACACTGAAAATAAATTGAAACACAAAAAGTCCTAAATCGGTAACAACCCCATAAGTAAAATATGTGTAACTCGTAGTAAACACGCCAATACAGCGTTGCCACAATCATTTCCATAATACATTATAATTTTATACAATGATGAAATTAGGAAAATTTAAATTTTTTAAATAGCAGAATTCAAATATTTCAATTAAGGAACAAACCTACAGAATAAAAATGTACATTAAAATAGTTATTTATGTATTAAGGGAATTATGAGGGCCTTAATTACCGATGGCAAAGTTTGCGTCCCGAGGGCCTCTGGCCCGAGGGACAGCAATTGCCAGAGGTTATTAAGGCTCTATAATTCCCGTGGTACATAGATAATTTTATTTCTGACCGATTTTCATAACAATATGTCCATATTTAGAACGCAATAAATGTTTAAATTCATAACCTTTCTGGTATATTTGAATTAGGTAGCGTTGATTGTAGCATTGTTGGTTGTTGCTAGGTTGTCGCTATGTTACATGTTTATTTTTTTTTAAGCGGCGGAAGTAATTTTCAGGGAACATTTGAAAATTGTACATTTATTATCTGTAATGACGTGAATAAGGAAAATATGTCTTAGTTTTCATCACATATGTTTATAAGCATTTCTTGTATCATTTTCACCTGTAAAAGGTAAGAGGGAGTTTTTGAACCTTAATATCCCAAGGGAGTTATGACTCTCATTATAGATATCGTAACTATGACGATATAAGCTTATAATGTCACTGTCAGAAATAAATTATTTTATATAATTAATGTATGATTAATGCTTCCCTCGTTTTTTAACATAGGCGGTAGATTTAGGGCAATTCGCAGAAATTTGTCGTCATCGCTTTCTAGTGAAAACGATGTTGGATTGGGACAAATTATATACAATTTCGTCTCCCCTCTTTTCATATGTCCATGGATTATACTGTATGACTGTACTAAGGCCTAATTGCTTTTTATCATTCTTAATCTATGTATTATAGTTTTATTGAATTAAAGATGTTCATTTTAATGATATTAATCCGTCGTAATCACTTCTCCCAGACAAATCAGCATTTTTTGCAACGCCGCAGGTGTAACATTCCACAACATCTACGAGATTTACGTCTCCTTAATGGGCATATCTGTATAGTTTTCTAAACAATATTTTGTGAATTATGGTGTATTCGTGTATTGTATGCAAAATGGTTGATCATCTGAATTCAAATATGACCTTTCACCGGTGAGTAAGATTATGTTATGGATTGTTGATTTAGTAGATTTAGGTACTCCGCATTATCAAACATGCATTGTTGCCAAACAGCCGCCGCCGTGCAGTTGTCTCTCGCGCACTCGTTGAATGAAACCTTTTGTCTCTCTTGTTTAAATGTCTTTGGGAGTGTGTTTGTAGCTTCAAGAATGACAGAATTTGACAATGGTGAAGACTTCAGAACATGCTTGATATATTTACCTAGATGCGTTCCTAGGGTCCAGATTAGCCGCTTTCCACTGTTTCATCTTCTCTCTTTCTTGGACGTTCTTCAAAAACACTTTTCCTATGCCGCTCGCTATCTTGGTCAGTTCCTCCTCTTCTCGCTTCAAGTCTTCAATTTTCTTCGCAGCTGTACCATCAGTTTCGTCTTCGTCAGAGTCCGGCACACCTTTGTAGGAGTCTGAGTATCTTTTTCTACAGTAACCGTATAAAATGCATTTCAATACAATTCAGTTCATTACATTATACCTGAGACTGTTTCAATGAAAAAAATTTCTGGTGATGATACATTTTTAATATTTTATTGATACCACCCCTCGTCATCAAATCTATAAAAATTGATCTGAGATAATTTTTTCAATAATGGTCAGCAACACCTCGTGGAGAGAATATGAAATGGAAAAAAGTCTACAACAAAATTTGAAATTTGGAAACTGGACGTTTTCTGGCCTGATATAAAAATGAAACTGAGCTATTTGTGATGTCATGATACCAGTAAAATAAAATATTCCACTTTTCACTTCAAAGTCGTCCAAAAGGAAACAATACCTAATGAATCCGCTGATAAATTCCTTGATAAGAAGTGAACAACACGAAGAAGAATAGCCACTACCTGAAACCTTCAACTTATTTTTGTGTATGTTTATTACCATGTTTTTATTAACTTGCTCATGTCTGTACGGTTGGAATTTTGTAATTGATTTTAAACTAACTTCCCGATGAGCTTGATACTTTTTTGGACCATAGCTCAAAAGTGGATAAGAATGCGTGAAAATAAGAAAAAAGAAGCCGAAGTGTGCCCAGGATTACCTACCTAGGGGAGAAGTCATCAGTCCCGATGAGATAGATACTTGGGACCATAGCTCAGAAGTGGATGACAATGAGTAAAAAGGAAGGGAAAACAGTGGCGTGCTCAAGATTTTTCTTATGAGGGGGGTCATCAGTCCCGATGAACTAGATAGTAGATGGACATAGGAAAAATTGATATTCATCATACAGGCCGTGGAGAGAAATTCTGAATGGAGAATACCGAGATAGTAGATACTAGAAATTTGGAACATAGCTCAGAATTGGATGCATGAATATGTGAAAAAATCAGTACTGGCAGCCCTAGGATTTTTTCTGGGGGTGGTCATCCGTTCAATCAATAGTAACGAAAGCTGCCTTGGTAGTAAAAACACACTTCAAGGCTCAGAAAGGAGTAAATAATGGTAGGTTTTATAGCTAGTAGTGGAAAATATCACTTATATCCGGTCTTATTCTCTAAGAAATGATGAACAATTGATGTACTCTACGAGCACTTGGTTGAGACATTGCTATATTAGACTCAGTCCCCATGATGATAGGATCCTCGCGTGCAAGTAAATGTAAAGCAGCAAGTATCTGAAATACTAGGCATTAGTTATAAATGTTCTCTCTAAGTACTCTCTATATTGATATATTACGAGAACTCATCTGAAATTTACTTTTAGTTGTAGTAGAATAAAAGAAGCCAACCAACGCCTTCCATTCCCATTTCACATGTGATAGAATTTCCGAAATGTAAGGATGGACTTGCTGAATCCCCCAAAATTCTATTGTTTGATGCTATCCTTCTAGCGAAATAAGTAATTTTTTCATTTTCACAAATAATTAGTTAGATATTTCATACTTTCTTGCCGTAGAATTACCTCTTGTGCAACATCTAGCATTAATAGATGAACATCATTCCCTTGAAATAGTGCCACATTTTTTTATCAACTCCACAAGTCACCAGAAAAAGCTGGTGGATATCTGCCACAATAAAAAGTGGAAAAAACATGACAAGTTGTTAATTTATTATTCATCTTTTCACCTTCATATTAACCACTCGAATGAGGGCCGGTTGCAAAAAGAAAAATCGATCATACAATCAACTGATGCCACAATAACTTTGATGTTATGTTGAATGTCTTTGGCGTTGCATAAGCAATCTGATGTTATAATATTCATTCCATTTACTAATGACGAAAAGAGCGTGGCAACAGCGCTAATCTATCTGCTCCTTGCGTTCCGCGCATTGTTGATACACATTTCAGGTTAGGTTTATTTGCTTGATTTTCAATCAGATTGACGGAAGTTACAGAAAACCTGAATCAGGTATAGAAATCATTGTCATCATACATTTAGAATGGATTGTTTCTATTTCAAATAAACTACTCAACACTAATTTCGTCGCACACCAAAATGTCGCCCCTGTTATAATGTGTATAACTTTCTTCAGTTGGGAACAATTTGAATTTGGTTCACACTGTTCGATAGCCCAGTCCTTCAGCTATAATCTCGTATTTCATTGAAACATAAGGGTATTCACATAAAATCTCTACATGGTGTTTTCCGACACTGTGCAAAATTTGGGAATATTCAAAAGGCTCTCAAATGGTGAAAAAAATGTTTTTCTCAACTTTGACAACAGAGGCATGTCGATGATCTCATTACCTCGAGATATTTCGCTAATCAACTTCCTATCTCTCTTATTTACAGAGTGATCTCAAAAAATCAACTTTTTGGTTTTGCAGCCATAACTTTTTTCTACGTCAACCGATTTTAGAAATCTTAGGCTCATTTTGAAGATAAAACTTCAGATGAAGAGATCTGGCTATCAGAATTGACTCAAGATGGCTATCAGAGATCTAGAGTTTTCTTGAAAGTGACCCAAATCTGGAACGCCCCCCCGAATCTCGGTTGGGAGGAGAATTGAATGAAAATCAACTTGTTCTCGGAAAAACAATTCATTCTGGATGCGTCCATATGTTCCTCGCTCTCAGTAGTCAAGAATTGTGCGTGAGAAAACACAATTGAAACATGTTCTTGCAAAAACATCAGACCATTTCTCATCTGTACTGCATGGCCCGTAACCAACGTTACAAGAATCACGATGGACTGACAAACCCGACCAGCCAAGGCTCATCATAAATGATGTACCAACAACCCTATGCGGTCTGGCATTGTCATCAACGAGAACAAAGTTGTCATCCACATTCGCGTTAGATGCGGCATCGAAACTATCGAAATCTGTTTATGATTCGAAAACGACGTCTAACCTGACTTGTCAGTCACTTACTATGATTCTTGTAACGTTGGTTACGGGCCATGCATTACAGAGGAGAAATTATCTGATGTTTCTGCAAGAACATGTTTCAATTGTGTTTTCTCACGGACTTTCATGACCACTGAGAGCGAGGAAAATATGGACGCATCCAGAATGAATTGTTTTTCCGAGAACAAGTTGATTTTCATTCAATTCTCCTCCCAACCGAGATTCGGAGGGCGTTCCAGATTTGGGTCACTTTCAAGAAAACTCTAGATCTTTGATAGCCATCTTGAGTCAATTCTGATATTCAGATCTCCTCATCTGAAGTTTTATCTTCAAAATGAGCCTAAGATTTCTAAAATCGGTTGACGTGGAAAAAAGTTATGACTGCAAAACCAAAAAGTTGATTTTTTGAGATCACTCTGTAAATAAGAGAGATAGGAAGTTGATTCGTGAAACATCCTGAGGTAATGAGATCATCTTCATGCCTCTGTTGTCGAAGTCGAGAAAAAATTTTTTTTCACCATTTGAGAGCCTTTTGAATATTCCGAAATTTTGCACAGTGTCGGAAAACACCATGTAGAGATTTTATGTGAATACCCTTATGTTTCAATGAAGTACGAGATTATAGTTGAAGGACTGGGCTATCGAACGGTGTAAACCAAATTCAAATTGTTCTGAACTGAAAAAAGTTATTCACATTATAACAGGGGCGACATTTTGGTGTGCGACGAAATTAGTGTTGAGTGGTTTAGTTCATGGCCTGGGAATAAGAAGTTCTTCTTCAGATAGTAAAGGCATTGATGAGATAGACATTTTCTGTAATACCTATAATAGTCATTCACTTACACTATTGTGTTCATTTACCCACTCTACCTTTTTGAAATGAAACTTAGGACTCTAACGTTTTTTTCAGATTCTGCAAAAATTCTGTAAAATATTCTAAATAATTTGGCGGAACTTTCACAAGTCATTTTATGGTTGTCACTTTAATCAGTGGTCGAGCACTGATTAACTTGATGCCATGAATAAGTCGATTTGATGTAACATCTAAAGTTGATTGGTCTTTGTGCAACCGATTTTTTAGTTAAATAGTCATTATCATAAGCTAATTAGATGATTAAGTCACCATGCCATCAAGTACATGACGGGCCTGTTATGCAACCGAATTCCATGTAAAACGTCGCATCAAATATTTGAAGTGACATCAAATAATTGATGAGCTTTTATGCAACCGGCCCTGACAGTTGTCAAAATAAGCACGCTCTTAGTGAATCGGACCGATCATCACCTTCTTTCCGGATCCGTGTAGGGATAGGGCGGAGCAGGGAAATCGTCGCGCTCGATCTTGGGCGCCTCCCCAGGCAGGGGCGGCTTGGCGCCCGGGAAGTGCGCCAGCTCGATGGGCTCCTCGTTGTTCATGCCCGGCGACTTGGGCCGCGGCGTCTCCGCGCTGCGCATCGAGTCGACCATCACCTTCATCGCGGAGCGCGAGCCGTACCGCTTCGAGGAGCCGGTGCTGCCGCGCAACGAGTTCTGCGCTGAAAATCACACTCGCTGGTCAGGTTTAGAGTTTGCTAGAATATTTATTTATTGTAGAAGAAATACACACAGGATTTCTCTTTCTTACAACTAGAAACTAAATCTAAGTGAAACAAAGATATATAAATTCATACATAGCGATAAATTTATACCTAGCCAAATATACAAAAGTGTATACTCCTATCTATATATACATCGTGTTCCAGCTTAAATGTCTCCTTCTGTAAAAAATCAACCGCGCGATCGAATGACTTGAAATTTGGTCACCCAGTATATTTGATGATGCTCACTCGAAATATGCTATTGAATAAATCGTAGGTATACAGGGTCACACCGAAGTGCAACTAAACTTTCTTATTTGAATAGGGACACCCACTATATTATTCCATATTCAAGTAGAGTTCATTATTAAAAATTCAACAATGCCGGGTTTGACGAGATTTTTTCAAACAACTACGAAGATATGGCAAAAAATAAAACAATTCAATAAAAAATTTATATGATTAGATTTTATTAATATAACTGCGTACTAACGTGATAATCCTTTTTCCTGTGTTGCCAGCTGTTTTATTTTAAGGAAATATCAAGTAAATATTTCTCAATTTAGAATCGATCCTATACTGTGAACTGGTGGGATAATTTGATGTAAATGTCATCAATATATTATGTACTGTATGGTATAGGTGGTCGAAATTTGGTCTACTACTAAATTATTCGTTTCAACAAAAACCCAGCAAACATGATTGAGCGGTAAATAGGCGGCCGATTGCTGGTAACTGCGGTTAGTTGTCGGCAGCGGCACACCTATGTCGTTAAAATGTTGAAACGACATCGGTTTTGCCGCCATGGCTGAACGTACGCATGTTTATAATGGATGTTTGTTATTCAGCCAGAAATTGCCCGTTTAAAATTCCCGACAATCGTGCCGATGTCGCTTTGACGCAGTATGTATGTTGTTTACAGGTCAGTGGTAACTGAACCAAACGCAATGTTGGCATCACTGGGTTTTTGAGCATTGGTAGTACTGCTAATTTATTTTCGTGTTTTAGTTCTGTGTCCGTAGATCGCGTCAGTTGTCTGTCACTTGTCTTCAGGTATTTGTTAAACGGCGTGATAATATTAATATTATTTAGAAAAAGTTGGTGAGTTTTATGATTGATCCCAGCAAACTATCGTCCGACATCAAGAATAATGATATATGTTATATAACAATAATTAAACTCGTTATTGTCTACCAATCCATTTTTGTGGTAATGATTTTGAGCTAAATATTTGTTCATTACCCTATATTATAACAATGATGCTCCAATGCGAAGTTCAGCTCTTTACCTATATTCGAAAAATATTTGATTCACAGTAATAGATCAAACACTGGAAAAGTAATGTGGCTAGAACATTATCAGACTAAACCTATTCTACGTCGTCGAATCAACAAGTTATGTTAGGTATATCGTATATGATCAAATATCAAATATAATTGAAGTATTGTACTATTTCAATTCTGTTGACTGATGGATTCGTAATAGTATCTTTCAAGTTTCGCAGTAGCCTAGTGGTATAAGCGTCTGACAGTTGATTGGATATCCGTTCGATCGCAAGTTCGAGTCCGACTCCCGACTATATCTTTTTTTTATTTCTAACCGAATAGTGTCGGTAGATAGTCGGGCGGCCTACTAGCGGCCGGTGCGACACGGGCTAGCCGGGCCGACGATGTATCATGATTTTGGCCCGCTGATGTTGACTGTCGGCAGTTTTTGGAGGGCGTCTAAAGGCCCGCGCGATACATGTTTGCTGGGAACAATCTAACTGAACGATTTTGGTATACTTTTTAATGAATCTCAAATTCTGGTGACATCACTTTGAAATCTATGTCATAATCCAGTGCATAGCAAAACAAGAACAAGTGAGTTTTGAACCGTCTTGCTCAGTTCATCCATGATATTGTTGAAATCAGTTAAATCTTGAGTGATAAATGTTGAAATATCCAAATAAGTAAAGAATCGGTTGAAACAGCACTGAATAGTGAAGAAACTTGTAAGAAACTTTTGAAATTGAAAAAAAAAAGATTTGAATAACCCCCATTAAAAAATATTAGTAGTTTGGAAGTTTAGAAAAAGCGTTAGTGATACTTTATTGAATTTTCAATACCATTTACCATCGCTGCACACTTCGAATAGATGAATTTCAAAAACATCAACTCTCAACCCGGAATGTTGAATGAAATATTCTTGTATATATTTAAATGAAATTGCAAACACGCCTAGAAAACAATATTGTGTAGCTTCAATTCCTGGCTATGAAATATTCACCAAAAAGTCTGAATTCGGTACCCATGTTCAGGTGGAATTTATTGTACCCTCTTTCCCACCCGAAGAGACGCCATAACTCTCATTAAAGAATGAAAGACGAAGGGAGATACATTGATGTACTCTTTCCTGAACATGTAGAATTGTAGAGGAAAATGCGAGTAGCATATATCTAAGCTAAAAACATATTATTGTCCTTGTCTGGCAAAACGTATGAGTGTACATAACCTGATCCTACAAAAACGTCAAAACAAATGGGTCAAGCACATTAACACAGTATAGACCCTAACAGAAAACAGTAGTTTTAGTCAGCACTCTTTGTGTCCTAAATATCGCAGTGCCCATGTCCACTTGTGGCTAGTATGCGCAGTAGTTCAGCTAGCAGGGCAGGTGTTCTGTTTACACTTCTTTGATTTATATGCCTTTGTCATTCATTCTACTATGTTGGTGGGTATATTTTTGAAAAATGTTTGCAGCAATGTGAAGCCTATTCAAAGTCAGACACAGAACTGGTTGATGGAGGAATTTATTCACATTTCGAGCATATGAAAATTCTGCTAAATACATTTATGGAAATTTAAATATGCCTCAACAGGATTTCTTTTCATACCTACGAGTATGTTACGATAAATTTGCTTCGAATTTCCCAAATTTTTCATTCCAGCCATGTTGCTATTAGATTGAAGGAAGAAATAACAAGTACTTGATTATCTCAACAGTTTATTTATTCGAACAGTGATTTTTTTATACTCTGAAGTTCATGAACATTGAGTTATCACAACCAAAAACTAAAAAACAAACTTTAAAATTGAAAGTTGTGCAACATTTATAATATTCATCATTTCAGATTCAGTTATCATAATAATCATATTTAATTTGATTGATCTTGATTCTCAGTATGTTAATAATCTAAATTTCAATGTTTTTTTGAGTGGTAAGTACGTTGATACGCTATGTATTTATTTGAAGCCGGACCTGTTCACATAACATTCAGGGACTTCACATCATTCCTCAGTGATGACGAGCGGGTCGTCATTGACTTTGCCATTGGCTCAGCCAAGCCCGTAACACGCAAGTCTGCGCATGGTGGTATGCGCACTGGTCTGGCAAAAATAAAAACTTGTGGACACCAACATCAAACGTTCCGACAAAAGTAGAGTAACTGTTTTCCGTAAGGGTTTATACTGTGACATTAAGGAACTTTAGTCAGATTCCAGCATTTTGTAATGCATCATTACTTACACGTCGGCCGATGGAAATGCGGTGACGTTGGAGCTTTATCGTAAGGATCTATCGGCTTCCTGAGGTAACCCAGGGTGGGTTCCTCGGTGAGATAGCTGTACGTGTATATCCTAGAAATGTCGTCGGCCATATTGGCCGATTTGTTGTGCTCTCTCAATATCAGTCCTGGCGATGGAGTGCGATAATTGAAATGCTGAAAACGAAAAGACGCCACCGGTATTGCAGTTACAAGAAACAACAAGGGTTCATCTCCCATTTTTATCATTCAACTGATTTGAATATTAGCGTGACTAATATTTTTTGTATAAAACAAAGAGTCCACCCTACCCCTGATTCTAGATAATGACCGATAATTTTTTGTTTGAAACCTGCAGAAAAAGTATCTTTATTGCATTACGATAAAATCGGCAGAATGTTAATGAATTTGAAGAAGCTAGAGGACATGCTGAATGATATGTACCACCATCCGGAAAACTTGGTTTGTCGTTATGATTACAACTTTGAACAATTTTTGCAAACAAACCAGCAGACATGTTATGGTTATCATTTGTATCAGTCAGTTCAACATGTGAGAATAAATTTTCCATATTTGAAACACCCTGTACATCGTAGAATAGTTTGCATTAACATTCCATTTTTTTCTGTAGTCTCTAGTATTTACTCTTCTACCTCAAGATATGTGGTATTATGCAGGTGCTATACAAATATCACAGGAAAGCATAAAAATGGCAAAATAAAAAAATAAAAACCAACCTTTCTAGACATGCTTGAAGGACTGTACAGGGAACCATTCAAACTAGGAGTACGGGAACGCATTGAAAACTGTAAAAAACATGCATACATACAAAATAAATCAGCAACATATAAAAATGAAATATCTGGCATACAACAAATTACTTGAAATAAAACAAGCAGTTGATTACTGATTATAAACTGAGAGGCCATAGACATTTGTGAATGAAAACAATATAATAATGCACGGACCTAAAAATAATTGCTTATTATAAAATCATGAGAATCTTGCATGTGACCATTACTTTTTTCTACACATCAACATACTAACCAAAGTTGCAGGAAGAAAATTGTAGAAACATTTGGAATTCATGAATTTCATTTAGTTTAATTATTGTATAATCACTTACAATCACTGAACATTTTTCTCATTCAATTATTCTCAAATCTTTAACGATGAGAGAAAGCTGATTAAATGAAAAAAAAGGTAATTTAGCCTCTCCAATATGTCGCAACCTGGGGAAAATTTAGCCGTTTCAGTTTACATGCGTTTATACAGATGATATTTACAAAAAAAATATTTTTGTCACGATTTATCTCTGTTGGCAGGTAACAAAGTGTCACTTTTTATAAATCTTCCATTTCATAAATCTTGGATACGCGATTCCATACATTTTGATTGATTGATTGTCTTTATTACCCCAAGAAACATTTCTGTTTATGATAGTGATACATAAATACATATAAAAAAAATAATAATAATAAAGGGTTAACTATAATGAATTCCATTCAGTGGAAACGAATTAATATTGTGTCTTATAAGATTAAAGTTATATTTCATTCCTAAGTAATCAAATCATGCCACATATTTTTCTTTCAAATTGTCCTGAGCAAGTATTTTTTAAGATTGATTTTAAACCTTCTTGCATCATGTATATTTTTTAACGCAATGATTTGCGTGACTCTACTTTTACTGCTACTATAACTCCGATAGAGACAACTAAATTCGTAATTTTACAATCGAATCACAGAATTAAATTGACAGATATTTGATTACTTCAAAGGTTTCGATAGCATCGAGGGTCTAATTGTCACTATGAGTAAAACACCGCATTCAAATTCAAATGCCACATAGATAATTTTCTAACTTTGATATAATATTGAAATACTGTTTCAGTATTAAACAGTCATCTTTCCCGTCACAGAAAAAAACTGTTATAAACGGAAAAAATAAGACTTCAGGTCACATTTTTTGTCTCCCTCCACCGCACAACTGAAGATAACACAACCTTGAGCTAATATCCAATACTCATTTCCCATGTATAATAAATAATTATTTTTCACAAGATATTTTTGGGAGTTTGGGGCGAAATTTTTAGTTTTTTCAATCGGTTATTGATTCTTCAGAGCAACTAGTTAAAAATCATTTTTTTTCCCTCATTCCTCTGCGAAAAGGACATCTCACCATTCGCGATTTCATTCATTTATCTGTGTTTGGAGTTTCGGATTGTTGGAGTATACTTTCTAATGATTTAAGTATGGATTGTGGTATCTATCTATTGTTATTTACTCTGAGCACTCACCAACTAGTGTACAGGTGTCTGTTATTATACCCACCATTCGAGATTTCATGATCTTTTCCTTGTTTTGTGTTCAGGATTATTGTCGTATACTTTCCAATGATTTATGAATGAATTGTGGTGTCTATACATTGTTATTGACTCTGAGTAATCACCCACGATTCTGTTATTATCCCCACCATTCGAGATTTCATGATATTTTCCTTGTTTTGTGTTCAGGAGTATTGTCGTATACTTTCCAATGATTTATGAATGAATTGTGGTGTCTATACATTGTTATTGACTCTGAGTAATCACCCACGATTCTGTTATTATCCCCACCATTCGACATTTCATTCATTTATCCGTTTTTAGCGTTTAGGATTGTTAGCATATACTTTTCATAGATTTATGAATGAATAGCGGTGTATATCTATAGTTATTTAGTCTGAGGACTGAACCTTTGCAAAGGAGCAAGTAATGCTAGGTTCTAGCACTGATAGTGAATGACTAGTCAACTCCTCTTTCACATATAGTGTTGTATTCTTATATTGTATATAATATTAGACTGTTTTATAATAAAATAGGCTGTGACGATACAAAACTGTGATTGGGACATTACAAATTCCCATGTTTTAATACTTGTTCACTGTTACGTTTTAATTGTATACAAAGTATTTGCCCATAAGATCATGTATCTTGGACAATAAACATATATGCAAAAAACTACGTAGTGCGTGCTACAGTATCAAATATATGAAAAATCACTGTAGCTAACAAATTCTGGTAACTTTATATTATGCCAACTTTCACTCCAATATAAGATATGGAATACTTACATGGGGAAATAGTGCCACATCAAACAGAGTGTTTATTTTACAAGATTATGTGTTACATATTATTGAAAATACTGACACGAGGACTAGCTGTAGAGAACTCTTCAAGAAACACAAAATCCTCACATTGTACAGCATATATACCGGGTGACACAGGAGACATGTAGCAGCCTGTAGTTTTTTTATTTGAAGAGATAAAATTTTGAAATTCACAGAGGGTTTATAATAAATGGTAGTGCACTTTACGAACTCAACGACAATTTTTTTCAACCACCTGTTTGACCGGAAGTGACCCCAACTTTTAAAACTTTTAAATGTCATCCTGTACATTTCCTCAGTTCATCTTATTCGCCTTGAAATTCTCTATCCAACCATGTATCACAAAGTGGCATTTATTTCTTAATTCGCTATTGAATTGCTTTTTATTCAAAAAGAATAAGTTGGCTGTGACATGAATTCGATGATATATCGACACTTGGTAGGCTCTGCAATTTGAATATCATTAGTAAACCGATATTATTCAAAATGTTTTGATATTCTCATCAATGTCTGCAGATTGTCAATAGCTTGTTTGAGTCAAGATGAAAACCTTCGAAAATAACTCATGATATTGAGGAATCTAAGATAGGAACATATTTTTTCGGATTCAGCAACTCGTACAGAAACTATCTGTCTTTTATTTTCGCCATGTACCTATCACATGATCTTTCCATTTGGAATTATAAAACTAAAATTGTTCCTCTTATACGATGATCCACAGGGCTATCAGTCTCTTTATTCATAATTATTTCATTTAGTAGGCGGTGTACGTACACAAAATGTTTTATGTGTTTATAAATCGATTGCATCAATAATTTTTCTTCTTCATTTGTGTGTTGATTAAAATTGCATATTATCAATAGAGACGGAAAATATATTCAGAAATGAAAAACTCGATATGTTGTTAATATGCAATTTTTATCAACACACAAATGAAGAAAAAAATTATCGATGCAATCGATTAACTGTCAAACACATAAAACATTTTGTGTAGGTACACCGCCAACTAAGTGAAATAATTATGAAAAAATATACATAGCCATGTGGATCATCGTATAAGAGGAACAATTTTAGTTTTATTATTCCAAATGGGAAGATCATGTGATAGGTACATGGCGAAAATAAAAGACAGATAGTTTCTGTATGAGTAGCTGAATTCGAAAAAATATGTTCCCATCTTAGATTCCTCATTATCATGAGTTATTTTCGAAGGTTTTCATCTCGACTCAAACAAGCTATTGACAACCTGCAAACATTGATCAGAATATCAAAACATTTTGAATAACATCGGTTTACTAATGATATTTAAATTTCAAAGCCTACCAAGTGTCGATATATCATCGAATTCATGTCACAGCCAACTTATCCTTTTTGAATAAAAAGCAATTCAATAGCGAATTAAGAAATAAATGCCACTTTGTGATACATGGTTGGATAGAGAATTTCAAGGCGAATAAGATAGACTGAAGAAATGTACAGGGTGATATTTAAAAAAAAAAGTTGGGGTCACTTCCAGTCAAACAGGTGATTGAAAAAAATTGTCGTTAAGTTCGTGAAGAAACTACAGGCTGCTACATGTCTCCTGTGTCACCCGGTATATATTAGGAGTATGTATATATTTCTATAAAATGAACAGCATTACAACTTGCCTACCTAAGCATGATCATAACACTCGCTACTAAAATTTGTTACAACCCAACTCTCACTCCACTACACTTTATCAAAGGAGTTTATATTTCATCGGGTGCAAATTGTATAATAAATTGAATAATGAAATCAAATCCACACCTAATGTGAACATTTTCAAAAAAAGATTGAAGAAAGTTTCAAATGAAAAATGCTGTTATTCATTAGACGAATTCTTTATTTGATTTATAAAACTTCATTTTGTATTGCTATATATGTCTATTTACCATTTATTTTTCTATTTATATGTTTTGTTTGATATCAAGTGTTTTTGACGTGTTTGTTCATTCATATTCCAGATTTGAATATTTTAAATGGAAAACGAATAAAGTATCTATCTATCTTTCTCTCTCTCTTATACCTGTAATTCGCTGACTCCCGACGTGCTGTGCCCGTCGAAATCCCGCGCAGACGCGTCCGTGTCGGTGCAATGGCCGTTCGCCTCGCCCGACTCGTTGACAATGATGCCATTCTCGGTGGGACCGGGGCCGCACCTCGGGTGCCAGATGGCGCCACCCTGTAGGTACATCTCCTCGCCGTCGCCGAACGGGTCGCCGCACTTGGTGCAGCGCGCGCATGTCGGATGAAAGTGGTGGTTGTCGCCGGCCTGTCGGCATCAGAATATCATTAAAAAATCTAAGATCATTGCATGTGATAACTAAATATACCAGTAGTGACTTTTTCTCAGCATATTTAAACAAATACAGAAAAATATATAGGAAAGTAACCTTTGGTAGAAGTCCATATTGCTCAAAGTGGAGTGAAATATTTCACTGGAAGGAAGGAATGCTCGAAGTCATCCCCACAAATTTTAATGATATTGTTACATAATCATGAGGGACATGTTTCGGTCTAATAAAAGACCATCTCCAGCCTAATTCTACAATACAAAAACAATGATATTTAAGTGAATGAATTACCTATTTTGTGCTAGACTTACTTGGAGTTGAAAAATTTGTTGATGCTACTATTTCTTGAATTGTCAATGCCCATAGCCAAGAATTCCAGAGGTACAGAAAACTGGGTTCTCAATAAATGAAGGGCCCCGTGCCCTGAGAGCGCATACAATGCTTTGGACCTACCTTTGTCCCAACTTATTTTATGGTATTTCATAGTCAATTATTTTTCAGGTTTGCTCAACTCTCTCCAACATGCATCCCTCCTCCTACATCCATATTCTTCAATAGTTGTAATAGATATTGTTATATGCCTATGCTCATGGTCAGAATTTCACGTTTTATCCCTTGACATTGACTACGTCAACGTCTTGTCCATGTCTTTAATTGACATTATTTTCAGTGTTTTCTAACCAAACTAGTTTATATTTAAACACGTGCTGGCTGTTTGCCCTATCAATGTTATTGATATTTTCCTTCAAGTAGCGCTTTCATAAGGGCACGGGGAACCCCTTCATATGCCATTCTGGTATATGAAATGTTCATTAAAAACCAATAGTATACGCTCTCAGGGCACGGGGCCCTTCATTTATTGAGAACCCGTTTTCCTGTACCTCTGGAATTATATATAATAGTAGCATCAAAAAATTTTTCAACTCCAAGTAAGTCTCGCACAAAATAGGTAATTCTTTCACTTAAATATCATTGTTTTTGTATTGTAGACCTTTCAATTAGGCTGAAGATGGTCTTTTATAAGACCGAAACATGTCCCTCATGATTATGTAGCAATATCATTAAAATTTGTGGAGATGACTTCGAGCATTCCTTCCTTCCTGTGAAATATTTCACTCCACTTTGAGCAATATGGACTTCTACCAAAGATGTAGGAATGTAGTCAAATGTGCTAAAGAAGAACATGATAACTCCAGATTTGAGAAAGCCAAAATTGTATCAAGGGAGCATTGGAGAGTAGTCAATGACTTGAGGGGAAAGAATAATTCTTTACCAACCCCTATTAATATTGATACAGTCATTCTGAACAATTATTACTATTCTGTTGCCGAAAAATTAACATCAAATTTAGAGAACCAGACTGACCCTCTCAGTTACCTCCAAAATGAAATCCCAAATAAGCTTTTCATTGCCAACTGGTATTCAAGAACTAAAAGGAACTTTCAAAGAAATAAGAAATCGGGGGGGTATAGATGAAATTTCAGTAAATATTTTCGAAAGTCTATCTGATACTGCTTTATATGTTCTGGCAGAATGTATAAATAAATCATTCCAGTCAGGGTCATTTCCCTATTTTCTGAAAAATGCTATTGTAATTCCACTTCACAAAGGTGTTGAAACCAACGATCCATCAAATTACCGTCCAATATCGATACTATCTACGCTTTCTAAAATTATATGCTTCTCAAATATTGTCACGAATAGGGTTATTTTCCTTAATTCCATTCAAATTCATAGAAGGTTCGAAGTGATTGAACAGTCACGTCTTTGTTTATTGATTCAAAAATTTTCGAATCGTTAACGAATTTTTTTTCATAGTAGTTGAACATAAACACAGGCGTGACATTGACTTCAACGAACCTGGACTATCGACCTGATTTCCTTACTGTCACGTTTCCGAAAATATAGACAACTATTTGAAAGACGACAGTTCGACTACCAGTTCGGCTACCAGTTCGACTGCGAGTTGAAATGCCAGTTCGGCTACCAGTTCGACTGCGAGTTGAAATGCCAGTTCGAGTCAGGAAAGTTCAAGTTCTATCAATTACTGTAAGTTCGAAAAGTTGTCACTGTGCTCAATATTGGTTCATTTGTACATATAGGGTAAGTTGAGTTTTTCTTTGATTGCTAATCATTTCCAAGAATAAATGTGTGTACCTATATGTTTTGTTGGAAAACCCTTTTGAGAAGTATCCTTTATTATCACTTTCAAAGTTCATTTTCTAATGGATCTAGGACACAACTTAGGCAACCCCCGCCTTCAGTTTGTGACAATATTACAGAAATTTCGTAGGAATTGAAAAAAAAACTAAGCGTTGCATCAGAACGTTCAAAACAAAAGTATCAAACACATCGAGAAACTGAAATACAACCCACCTGCAAAACCTTCCCGCTGATGAACCTGTTGCAATAGGCGCACTTGACGCCGAACTGCTTCTGGTAGTCCCGTTCGCAGTACGGCACGCCGTCGTGGCCCATGTACTCGCCGTGCAGCACGATGCCGCAGGTGCCGCACTTGAAGCACCAGATGTGCCACTGCTGGTCCAGCGCCACTAGGGCCTGTCCCTCTTTCAACTCCTCCTTGCAGCCGGCGCATTCTGGGAAAATTCGCGAGATCATACACTTGGATCTTTCAGGCGCTCGAGTCATTTTAACTCAAGGCGAGCGAATAGAGACAAGGAGTGTTCAATCAGCATAGCAGGCAATTTTTTTGGAGCGCACGAAAGAAAATTCCTATAATGTTCATTATTCCAGATTTTTATCATATAGGTAATTCGACTGAGTATACGAGAATGAAGTACTATGTTTATGACTTTTTTATCAGGTTCACGACATCTTCGCAAAAAAATGATTGGAGATATTTTTTGTATCAGAACCTCTATATGCTTGTCGCATTTCAATTTTTCATCAATCTACATACCAAGATACTTTATTTGTGTAGTTCTTTTCAATACTTTATCTTCAATTTGGAGATTGAGACTAATATTCTGTTTATTTTTCAGATGGAATATGATATATTCAGTTTTATTGGTATCAATTCATAAAATGTTTGGATGAAGCCAATTTTCAAATTTTTTCAAATTCTCGTAAGTAATAATTTCTAGAATGATGGGATTTTTGTTTTCGTATAAAAGTACAGTATCATCTGCATATACATATAATATAATTACCTGACAATCCAATTTTAGAAATTTTCTGAATATAATATATGTTGAAAGTAGGTAGCCGTGCGGACAGAGTGTCTATATTCTAATTCGCATTCGCTTGCCGCTCGTGGGTTCGATTCCTATCGACTGCAGACATTTTTCTGATGGCCCAAGAAAGTGTTTGGGATCACACGTTAAAAGGTAAGGCCCCCGTCATTCCTTGCTCGCACAAGTCTTTCGAAGACTTCTGAGGGTTGCTCGTAAGGGGGCAACCGAATGACGGATATAACAATTTTAGAACAATTTTAGAACAATTTTAGAAACAATTAATCAACGTATTCTCTTTAGCAGCCTTATTTTTGGTGTTGGTTGTATGGCGATAAACTACTTTGCATACAAACGTGGAGTGCACATGCGCTGTGGTGATTTTTCAAACTTGCACTTTTTTGTAATCACAATAAAAGTTTTCGACCATCCATTTTTGGTTTTATACAAGTGTCAGCCTCGTCAATTTCACATGATCAAAATATCTCCAGAACCTTACTTCAACGATGGGAAAAGCGCTATATTTCTGCATATTGCATTACCTCCAAGAAAAGCGTGTGAAGAACGATAGAATTCCAACACGTTGCAAATTGAGGCAAACAATCTACAAGAGAGGGAACAGCGGTAATGTTTAATAATTGGTCACCCATCGCTTTTGTATGTTGAACTTTGAGCTGGTCGACTGGTTGTGGAAATCAAATACATTGGAAATTTTATGTGCTGGCAATTTTTGTTCACATCTGTATATCATAATCTAAGGGGGGCAACAAAATAACTTACAGCCAAAACGGGAAAACTAGACGATCATCAATTAAACAAGTTGAAATTGTTGAGGAAACAAAAGATCTGGTAATATATAAATATGATACAACATAAAAAGAAAGAAAACATACATATGCACTCGCCGGCAAAAAAACGGCCACCAAAAAATTTGCCAGAATTGTTCACCCTGTAACATTCCAAATCCTTGTACGATTTTAGTGAAATTTCGATCAAATCATATGGATTCATGTTCCAGAATGTTAGCCTAAATATTAGTTTCCGTGAGAAGATTCTGGTGAAACTTTGACCAAACCGTGGATTTATGTTTTGGAGTGTTAGCCTGAATGGTGAATCTTAAAAAATCTGATCATTATACAGGGAAAAACCAAAGTTACTATTTCACGCGTTACTTCTTAACGCCCTGTGAAGAAATTGAGTGGTTGAACTTGGTTTCATTAAGCTTTGGATTGAAATGTGATCCCTTATTAACACAACAGTTTTTGAATCACGTCAATATCTTATTTTTAATAGAAGATATGAGTGTTTTAGGAAAATATGTCATTTTTCAATTCTTATTAACAATAATCAGAACCTACATGAATTTATTGATTAATAACAAGAACTGATATCACTTATATCTACCTCATTTTCTTAGCACTGCAATGAAACTCTTTGTGTGGTCGGATTTACTGGCCTCGAAATATGCACGGAGTTCATTCAAATGGATTTATTCACTCCAAAAACACCCAGTATGGCAAAAATGGCACTCCTTATAACGCCGTAGGCACAACTACAAAAACACAAATCTAAACCCTAGTACTCACACGAAATATATTAGTAGTTAAATAATTTCCCTTGAAAACCAATAGTTGTTTTAATGATTGTGTTGGCCTATGCAACACTTTGGTTCAATAACATTATATCATTCATCCGCTCTGGATGAGATGGATTCAGAAGTGAAGAGAATTGTCGGGCACATAAAAAACTTTACGTTAATGACTGGGAATTTTGGTGCAAATGAGCATACAAGGTGTTCTGCAACAAACAGACAAAAATCTATAATTAACTCATTTAGGACGATAGTGAATATCGACGACAAATATATGTAGAGCTAGGGGATTTGTTACATCTCGCCTCCCCTTCCGTTGAGTCCCTAAGTGTATTTAGACAATTCGGGCTCACGTATTCGGAATTTCCACATGATAGGCTTTCAGGTGGCTGGCGTGGAAAACACCCCTCTCCACGCTCCTAAAATTCTTCTCATCATTTCTGTCGGTGTAGTACAAGACGTAGGTATCTTGAGATTATCTCTTTTTTCCCCGATATGGGCCTTCGAAAAGAAGCAATAACTTCATTGTTTTCGATTTTATGAAAGACGACATATTGTTTGCTTTTAGCAATACGAGGTCGTTTACCTGGAATTTAACACAAGGGCGGCCGCTTCCGATTTCAAAGTTGCTCCTGCTAACACTAATTTTTGTTGGTGTGATAGCTCACCCGGATTATCACCGCCATTAGCCACTTCTGGAGGTAATAGCCTATTTGGGGCCACGTCATACTCGAGTTCTACAGGAGAAAAAAAAACCTGTTGATTCATGGGTGACGGTGTTATCTTGTCTGCCGATGTAACACAAGACGTGTTCTCAAACAAACACAAATTTATAACTAACTAATTTAGGACGATAGTGAATATCGACAACAAATATATGGAGAGCTAGGGGTTTTCCTACAGCACTTACCGAAAAAAAACTTAAATATACATCAAACAAAAAGCAGACTTGTAGTCAATACGAGTATGCCCTCTTCCAGCTCAATTCACAGCATTAAACCACGGTTGCATGGAATTCATCAAATTTCTCATAGCAGTCTTGAAGAATTGCCTAAAATTCTCCTTGAAGGGCAAACCGTAGCTCTCGGAGAGTCTCTGACAAGGCCGGACGATGGCGAATGAGCCTCTCAATACAATTTAAAATTTCAATACTTTCTTAGAATACTAGTATCTTCTCTTGAAAAAATAAATTGAAGAAAATCTAGAACCATTGTGTTAAGAAGGGACGAAAAGGATAACACTTCAATTAAAAACATGAAACAGAAGGTTGGAGAATGGTTCTGAATTAGTGTTAATAAAAATGCAAAACATCCATACTTTCTTAAAACACTTGTATCATCTCTTAAAAAGTGGTTATCAACGTGAATCAAAAACCATCGTATTAAGAAGGGATTACACTTCGATCCAAAACATAATGAAGCTTAGTTCAACCACTCACCTTTGCCACAGGGTGTTAAGAACTTAAGGGTGAAAGAGTAATTTTTGTTATTGTCAAGATATAATTCTCATCCGTATGCTATTCAGTTATTTCAAATTCCAATTATTCTGTTCTCAATAAATATATTTTTCATAGCTTATTTTACATTTGCGGAAGACAGTACAGTCGATCGTAGTTACCAGCTAAGGAAATCAGGAATCCAATTCAATTAGTATCATTTTAATTCCCAATCATTTTTACCAGGTGGCTGGCACCTATGATCGGGTAGATTATCGCTGAATTATTATTTTTCGAAACGAGAAATATAGAGTTTGATCAGAAAACCGGCATTACGATTAGAGATCGCGAGTAGTGCGATCGCGAGTAACATTTTTGAGTTCAGTTTTCGATCCCACGCGTCCCTCGAGTTCCACCCCCCATGGAGAAGCACGCTCTTTGGTGAGTACATGATTTTTATTTTCAATTTGTGTTCCATTTCCATATGATTTTATATACTAGGTGTTCTGTTTATTTTGTCTCGTTGACGCTCGACATCTCTATCATTTTATCCGCATTCTCTTTTTTTATTCAGTTCACACCCCAATGTGAGTTTTTTGGTAATAGGTTTGAATGTCTCGGGAAGAATTATGTATACCTCGAATTCTACCCCTGGAGATTTGAACGTAACATTATTCCCTGTATAATGGATCGATCTATTAGCATTTCTTAGGACCTGATATTCAGACTAACAATCCAAAACATGAATATACGATTTGGTCAAAATTTCACCAAAATCGGAAAAGAATTACAAAAGTTACAGGGCTAACAATTCGGCTAAACTTCTTTGGTTGCCGTTTTTTGCCGGCGAGTGTACTTCGATGTATCTGCTTGTGCTTACCTGTATTAGAATTGTTGATAGTCGGGCTAGTTTTTGGTGTTAAATCACGGACAGGAATTTGAACACATTTTGGGCAAAGCACCTCTTTTCCTGTGAAAGTAACCTTTTCGCCAGATGGGAACGGTTGTCTGCATCTGTTGCAGGTGAAACACTGTTGGTGGTAAGTTTTTCCCAATGCTGTTACAACCTGAGATGAAAAATGCACGAATAACATCAAACAATAGCAATAAATAATTGAGTGTATTTGTATTAAGGAACTTGGGATCAAGAGACAACAAGAATAGAAATCATCTCATGAAGTCACATAAATTGATTCAAATACAAAATAAAATTACATGCCAAAATTCTCAAGAAACAACTATGATATAAATCTTCATGGCAGCAATTTGATACAACAGATGTAGAAAAATATTACAAATGATATAATAGACTTGTAGCCCACAACGTATTTTTTGTGTCTCATTTGTTCACACTCAGCAGTATAAGAAAACCCCAAATTCCACCTTCCACTACACGGATATGACGTCGCCAAATGGAAATCGTGGACTAAAGGAGGGGGGGGGGGGGGGGAAGCGCGTATTATAATGAATTTTGTGGTGGACCGACTTTGAATTCAATTTTTCTTTTTTTGTGTTCTATATTAATTTTATATTCGCAATTTCAATATTGATTAATTTTAATCATCCAGAATTAATTTGTTATCCTCTATCAATTATCATTCATCTTCAAAACTCCTTATCTGTTTTATGATTGATATCATAATCATCAAGCAGATATGTATTGTTTAAATAATAATAAAATAATTTGAATATCAGTTTTCAACTATTCAGAAATTAGTGGAACAAATTTAATGAAATTTGACAAAAGTGCATTTTAGAGGAATACTTTCTTAACAGTAATCAAAGAAACCCAGAAGATATTGTAGAGAGAATAAAACTACCCTCACCCCATGACAATTTTTTCCAGAACATTCTTAAGGGCGGTAATACGGTTCTCAACTTTTTTTAACGAGAAGACAGATTTATTATCTTTATTTTGTTATTCTTGTAGAAACTTCCTACTCCCCATATTTCCGAAAGAAAAAATGTTTTATTTGGTAATGCTAACAGATATTCCCAGTACAAGTTTAATAACATTGTAACACAAAATTTAGCGCTGACAGTGGAAACAAAGGCTGAACGTTTTTTTATAATAAATTATGTTCAATATGACGGCCCCCTTCATCATACAAAAGTCAATTCGGCGTAAAAAATGGACACGGACAAACAGCACATTTTGGTAAATGAAACGTGGTAGCTCTGTGTCCCAGCACCCTGTATATGTGAAGCATATGTTGAAATTGTTTTCTTAAAAAAAAATGCATATAATGTTTGTGAATGCGGTGGTTAAAGGTTCTACATGTCTGACCAATATATACCTTAGCTTAGAACAAGGTACACAGTTCAGATTGTTTACTCATGAGATTTGAGATTTACAATTTTCCTCTTTATTAGTATGAAATTAAACTTGATTTTTCAGATGATTTGAAATAGGTGAAAGATCTATATCCATAATTTGGATTATTGTTTCTCATAGTAGAATATTCGACGATAAAAATTATTATGGAAGAAACAACTCATATGGTAATAAATAACACCCACATATATAAACATAAATATCCTGTTGATCATTGATATTTCAATTTCTCATAAATAAGTTTTCAAATGGTTAGCATAAAATTCACCTATAAAAAAACTTGTTAAAGATAAGAGAGTTTCTCGGAAGTCAACCACGTGTCAACTGGTAATATCAGAGTGACATTTAACCGGCCAATTTCAAGGTCTTCCAAGGTTCACCATATAAACCAATGAGATAGTAGTGATTTACGACCCAGTATGTACTAGTTGGTTTCAACAAGATTGACAAAATCTCAAAAATTTGAAGAAAACATCTGAAGATTTTGAGATAGAATCTCACCATTTTGAGAAAAAATCTTGGAATTTCAAGATTCTGAAAAAACTACGCCATAGTATCTGTTTTTTTTTTTAAATTTTAATGCGCATCTTTTTTCTTCTATCATTTGGTTTGTTCATCTTGATATATTCCATGAAAAACTTGACGAAATATAACTAACCAAACCATACATAGAATAATGAAACAAAATTCTACCAATATCCTGACAAGTCTTTCACAACAATATTATAAAATATTCCAGAATGTCCTGAGGATATTCAAATGAAACATTCTGATTATTCCTGAAGATCATTCATGAATTTTATGATATATTCTATAAATAATGTTTATATATTGTTTAGGCTCTATGGAAATGTCATGACATTGTTTATTATGAAATTGGAATCGTTCAATCTCAATACAAAGAAATATGAATTGACAGTTTGAATGAAAGAATTATTTTCCGTTTAAATATGCAATTCATATATATTTTTGAAATCTAAAAAAAGAGCTCTATCGACATGTCCGAAAATATATGGAGTGTTCCATTGAAAAAATCAAATACATGATGGTTTTTGTTCCGAAAAATTTTTTTTGTTACTTACGTATTTTTGTCTGAAAAACACGAATTTGATAATGAAAATGTGAACAAACCACTATTTATGGAGACATTTGAAGAAGAAGTTCGAAATTTTGCCTTCTTTTCCCCCTTGTGTTGGATGCATTTACAGCTACTTGCTCTTCTTATTTTGTCATTGGACACTTTCTATACTCATGATGTACTTCAATGGCACATTTTAAGATAGAAAATTCAACAAGAAATATGATTTTTATGGCGAATTTTTCCTATTTAGTGAGCAAGCATACCAGATGACGGCCATTTATTCAATAGTCAATCCAAATACGAGATGTCAAATGTCAATAGAGTGCTTTGGAATGGCATTACACACGCCATTATTTTAAATGATATTCTTCCTTCTTTTCACCAAATATGGATAAATTTCAAGGAAATCATATTTTTAGTTGACTCATATAATGAAAAAAATATGTCCAACATTGTGTGATATATATAAATTGTCCAATGATGGAAAAAGAAGGGCAAATTGTTCTAAATGTGATCCAGAAGACAGGCGGAAAAGAAGGTGAAATTTGTAACTTTATAGTGAAATATCTTAATAAATAATGGTTTGTTCACATTTTTATTATCAAATTCGAGTTTTTCAGACAAAAATACGTAGGTACCAAAAAAACATTTCGAAAAAAAACCCATCGCATGATAAGTGCAAAATTACCGACTACTATTACTATTTATGAACACCAAAACTATTGGACAGAAGACGTCTCTTATCGAGCTCACGTCACTCACTGTCATCCACCTTGTTCTACCAAGTGTTCGGCAGTTCGGAAGACGTAGTCCGACGACACTATTTGTTCAAATATTCTACATAATTTTTTTTGAATATTTTCGATTAAACAGACCATAGCTTTAAGGGCTATCCGGCAGAATTTTGGGATTTTTGACTTTGACATTTACCACAGTTTTTAGTAGCGCCAACTGGTGAGAATAAAAATGTTAGCCTTTATTTAGAAAATAGAAAAGGACAGAAGTTCAGATGTGTCCGAACTCTTATCCAACTAATACCATCCAGTGAATCTAATAAAAAAAATAGCATCCAACTAACCTCTCCTTCGACATAATCTTGGCAAGCTGCGCACTTTGTACCGAAGTTCCGTTGATAGTCAGCCGTGCAATAGTATTGGCCGTCCTTGGAGAAGAACCCGCCCTGGGCCAGCGAGTTGCCGCACTGCTTGCACTTGAAGCACTGCGTGTGAAAGTATTTGTCTTGGACGCGGAGCACCTCGCCGGTGCATTTCTTTTTGCAAGATTGGCAATACGTTTTTCCTAAAAAAAAAAAAGAACTTTTTTCTGTGACGGGAAAAAAGTTTGGCATTTCATCTCTGTTGGCAGGTTATAAAATGTCACTTTTCATAAATTACTTTTTTCCTGTGTGTCCTAACTTGCTCCGTTTCCGAGTAACGGGGTGTCCAAAGTTTAATGAAATATCGGTTTTTCCATGAATTACTCAAAATACTGTTCGCCGATTTTGATTAAACTTCGTGTGGTGATTTCTAATACGAAGCTTCTTTTCATTTCTACGCCTTGTGACTTTGATTGCATAAAGTTTAGCTATTAATTTCCAATAATATCAAACTCAGCGACAACATTAGCGTACAATAGTTACTATCGTAAATATCAATCAGGTTACCCTCTGCCACACCACTGGAAACAAAAATCAAAATCTACTTTCATGAAAAGAAGCTTCGTATTAAAAATCACAAACATACGAAGTTTAATCAAAATCAGCGAACAGTATTTTGAGTAATTAATGAAAAACCGATATTTCATTAAACTTTGGACACCCCGTTACTCGGAAACGGAGCAAGTTAGGACACACGTTTATATGAACTTTTTGTCATGAAATATGACAAGGAATCACCACCTGAAATTAAAATCATCATTTAAGATACACCCTGAATATACACTGTTGATGGCTTTTGTTGTGCTATAGTTCCGAAAAATGAGTCAATAATACCGTCTCCGACAAAGAACTGCAAGTCCTTTTATCTTCCATTCGACTTCGCGGTTACGTATATTACTAAACAACCACTAAATTCGAAATTTTTTGAAATCAAATCACAGAATCAGACTGACAGAAGTGACATCAGATATTTGATTACGTCAAAAGAATGATAAAGATGCATACAACGCAGGTGTCCCTACTGTTAAAAACTTAAAATTCTTCTGTCACAGAAAAAAATAGTGTATTATACACGGGAAAAATATTAGATTTTAGCTCACGGCTCACGACAACACAACCTGCTAAAATCTACTAATTTTTTTCCTTGTATAATAAATAACTATTTTTCAACACTAACCTGAGAAATCACCATTATTCGAGGATTTTCTCAAATGAGAAGTACCAATTTCAAAACATATGTAATTAATGATGAATTGATAAAGAAATTTTACCTCGTTAAAAAAAATTCAATAGTGTCAATGATATTATGCAATATACACACATATATACTGATGCGTATGCAACCAACGAAAAATGCTACATTCTAAAACCAAATATAGTTGAAACTCATGACCTATTTTACCATAAGACACATAAGGCCCGGGCCTTGGGCCCGGTGTAAAGGGGGGCCCGGAAAAAGGTTGAAAAAAATTATTTTCAACTTTTCCAATTCAGATTTGGTTAACGAAATAAGCCGTATCTGAAGAATGAAATGAGATTCAATGTGATTATATTGAAATCTCTTTCTTATAGAACCATCATCATGTTTTCAGCTGTTCAGAGATTCTGAAAGCTCTTGTTTCAACCCAGTTTTAGCCATCATGAATGGTTTTCGAAATTCCAAATGAAAATATTATCTTTTCATTAGTAATTTTTCATTTTCATTTGTTGTTGTGTTGTTATTCGTTTTAGTATTCATAAAATATTATCGGGTTCTTGCTCGTTTTTTTTGCAATACCTTTTCATATTTTTGTTGAATATAAGATTTTGCGACCAAATATTATGGAAACCCTGTATTATAGCAATGTATAAGTAGGTACAGTCGTCTTCAGAAAACATGTCGCACATGGACGATGATAGCATTCTTAATAACTCCTGCAATAGGAGCGCTGACACCGTCCAACCGCGACATGAACTATGAAGACGACTGTACGACGCACTTTCTTGGTATGTATGTAGGCACCAACTGGCTATTGACATTACCAGAGGTCCTTCAGTATATGTGTGTTATTTGTAGGCTTATTTCTGACTCCATACGTCACCTTAGGCCTGCACTGTTGATTGGAACGCAACAATATGAAAATGTATAACTCGCTTTTCAAATAAAAATTCTCTGCTCTGTCGGGTTGGATCCAGAAATTGTTTGATGTCCTATTCCGCCGTCCCATTTATCAATTAATGAATTTGAAATTAATCTTTTTTATCATTAAACAAAAAAAAACTGAAGTTTCCGAAAATGGGCAGGAAAATTCTTATTGAAAAGTCATATGATATTGGGGGCTCGCCTTTGAGATCTATATTATTTCGTTATCAGATGAAGGCCAAAATTTGCAACCAGCTACAACAGCTTCCCATGATCTACAAAGCACAGATACTGCCTGTTTCAGAATACTATTCCCACATATGGTGTTCAGCACCCAAACATACGCTGATGCTCTTAAATTCCATCCAGAGAAGAGCTATTCACCTGGTGGGTGATGCCACACCTACTACCTTTGACCTCATTAGAACACCGTAGTACAAACTGAAATGGGTGATAGATCTCATCATTTTGATCAAAAAAATGTGTTTAAATATGTGTCCGATTTCGATCAAACTTTAATTATTTTTTTCTATTAGATGAAATATCTCGCTCACTTCTGAATATATCTGTTTGAAATTTGGTGTAGCCATTACTTTCAAGAAGATTATCATACTAAGCATTTCAAAGATCTCCAAAATCCACAGGGTGATACGTTTTTGATGGTAGAAGCTTCTTTATTCCCCCAAACTTTTTCGTAGCACGCCTCTGATATCTTCCAGTTACCAAATAGGTTGGATCATTCAATTCAAATACTTTATCTGCATTTAAATTTTTTTCGAGAACCGCACCGTTTTCGTGATAAATAAGCATATCCGTGCAATAACATGTTAATTTTGCCTATTATGATTAGCTTCTAATGCAATAAAATGTACCAGATTCCAATCTGAATCAGTAGCAGAAATACAGAGGGTAGAAGGTCAGGTTGCTTTTAACCGACCAATCCAACGTCGACGCGGAAAATTCATGTTAAGTAACTGGTTAAGCCCCATCCATTTGTATCCATATCTTTTTCAATAACATTTGAAAAAATGTCACTTATAATATCACGAGAGCTTCAATTATTTTCGGAATTTTTTTCGAGAACACGAATTTTCAAAATATTCGTGTTCCAGAAGAAATTCCCGGATATTAATTGAAGCGAAAGTGGTATTCGGTAAGAAAATTTCACACTGAAATATTATATTGCAAGTATACCTACATAATATCACATGGTGAACTGTTGATAAACGATTTTCATTTATTGACTTATAAAATGAACTCGAAATAATCTGAAGTTGAATGTAAATGTCATTCAACTTATAAACGTCAATAAATTTCCAGTGTAATTTCGTGCTCCGTCCCCCAAGGAGGAAAAAATTTCCAAGAAATTTGTTTAGTTGCTATGGTAACGATACGAAATACAAGCTTTAAATTGATCGACAATTTTTGGTGTGAAATTTTCTTACGGAATGTGAAAATGTGTTAATTTGCGTATTCCATTATTGTTAACTTATTTTGTGGAAGAATACAATGTCAGAGCAAAATATAGATAAAATTAACATATTTTAGAAGGGATACGCTTATTTATCTAGAAAACGAATCGTTTCTCCGAAAGAATTGAGAAGCAAAAAAGCCTCTAAATTGAAAGATCGAACCTATTTGGTGACTGGAAAATGCCAGAGGCGTACTACGAAAAAGTTTGGGGGGGAATAAAGAAACCTATACCTCCAAAAACGCATCACCCTGTAGATTTAAAAAATCTCGAAAGTGAAAGTATCAACCACACCAAATTTCAAATTGGTATCTTCAAAAGTGAGCAAGATATTTTAATTAGATCCGCTAGTGATCAAGATCAGTCATTTTAATAAAAAAAAAATTAATTGGATGATGTATTTGTTAATTCATTTATTGTTCATGATTAAAAAATGACAATGGAAATTATTTGCCCTAGGCTTTTTCTTTCCTTCTCAGTTTAGTTTCAGATATTTGATAAGGATCAGCCTTTGGAACAGCAAACTTATCACATCTATATTAAATTTATACTAGATTCAACAATTACATCGTTATCCGCCTGAAAAGTCCTTAATTGCTTGGGGAATAGAAACGATTTTCTCCATTGAACTAGGCTTTATCTAAACAAACATGACAAATGGCACTAGGTAATGAGTAATTCAGTGATCTCAGCAATGGTTTTATTGATGTGTAAAATCACTGAAAAATAACATACAGGTCTGTATGATTAAATTAAATAAAGGCGTGGTCTAGTTTATTTGCTGCATATCTAGCTTATACGAGCCAACTCCATAGTGATGTAACCTCTAGTTATTACAATAATGAGCTCTAATTGTATGTAATAACATGTTCACATCATGGTAACAGATATTGTCAAGTCACTTTATTGATGACTAATGTTTGGTTCTGTGGTCGGTGTTATGCAAGGTTCAATGAAACAAATTTAGTAGGAGAATAACTGCCTAAGGGGATATCCAGAATTAATTACTTTTGAATTTATGGAACTGTAAACATGTTTTCCTCAATGTATTAGTATGAACATAATATATGAGTAACTTTATTTTGAAAGAAGCTGTTTACACTAGCTATGTGGTCATACGGGGTGACTAGAATTAGAGCCGAATTTAGAACATCATTATTGGGATCTCGTAAACCATAACAAATACAGGGTCGGTTAAATTATGGCAAAGTTGCGCAATTCTATGCCTAACAAAATGCCGTTTTGAAACTTGGGAAATTCCGAATAGTTTTGGAGATATCCGTGAAAAGAAAACGGAATTTTCTAAAACCTTTTCTATTCTTTAATCTTTATTCAGGTTATTTGAAGAAGTTGGTGAAAATGAATGACACTTCATCATGGTAACTTTTTTTTCCCAAGCATTTTAAAATTCGAAACCGATGTATTGTTTTCAAGCAATCATCAACTTATTTTTTCAAAATACGGCCTGGACTATTGATTGAAAATTTTCATACCATTGGATAGCTGTAAGCTACCAGCAATCACCAATTGTCATTTTCGAATGTTCCGTCAACAAACATTGACAGTTTGTATGGAATATTAAGAAAAACAAACAGAAACTGTCTAGTTTCCACGAGGGGCAACAACTCTTTAAATTGGTGTATACCATGGAATTTTGAGTACTTTGAGTATCATTTTTAATACATTGAGTACATATTTAATAAGCTTTTGAGTCTCGTTTTGAGTACTTCAGTATTTGAGTACCTGTTAACAGTGCCTCAAGTACCAGTTTGAAGTATTTCAAGTACTTTCAATTTTTTTTTATTATTGCCAGATATTTGAATATGGTGTACACATTTTGGGTAGTTGTTTCCCTCTCGAGTTTTCAGCTATCCCAAGGCATGAAAAATTCGAGGAAATATTGAAATAAAAGTCCAGGTCCGTAATTGAAAACAATACTAAGGTTGATGATGGTTTTTGGAAGATGAAAAGTCGGATTTTGGATTAGAAAACTCCAACTTCTAATGAAGTGTCATTCATTTTGCTCAATTTTTTCAAATAACTTGAAAAAGAATAAGAAGGTTTTGGGAAATTTACTCGGAAATTTCGGTTTTTTCCGCTGAATGTTTTTGGAGTTTCACAAGTTTCAAAACGCCATTTTGTTAGGCAAAAAATTGGCCAACTTTGCCATAGTTTGAGCGACCCTGTATCTTATGGTTTAAGAGATACAAATACAAAATATTTATTTCCATCGAATGGAATACATCAGTATAGGCATTGTCAAGATCAGAAAAATATATAAAACTTAATACTAGGATAGAAAAATAGTAGGATAAAATGTGATGTACAGATAGATGAACTGTGGGATACTGTGTGTGGCTGCTTAGTTTATAAGCAGCCTAGCAACAGAACTGTTTCTGATTCTTTTTATTTAGTGCTGTACACTCAACTAGGAAGAGTTGGAAGTAATCAATGAGGGCTGTAGAGTGCCAATCACTATCCTGTGCAAAATTGATAATAAATAGCACTTTCCTGTGCGGAAATTTGCACTTGATTTCGCAAATTGATAAGAAGATAAGAATTTTGCCATCTGATACCAATTTAATAGTATATCTCAAAAACCTACCTTTGCGATCCCTCAATCTGAGCCAAATCGACTACACAGCGATTTATTTGCTCCTATTATTCTGGACATACTTCCGTCATCTGATAACAAGTTTAAACAAACAGCAAATGAAAGGGGAAAATGTCCCTTTTGTGAATATCCAAAAGTGCCGCGAATCAAACTGATCTATGTAATTGGTGACAGAGCGTCAATATTTCCGTGAATATTCCCCCCTCGTCTAAAGATAATATCCGATGGACCAGTGTGACACTCTCGTGTGGTGCTCACACTACAAGTATTCTAATCCACATGTTTAGTTTAACACTGTCCATCGGATATCATCTTTAGAGGGGAGGGGGAATATTCTGGGAAATATTGACGCTTTGCCACCAACTTCGCGGCACGTTTGGATAATCGCAAAGGCGACATCATATCCTTTTATTTGTTTATAGTTCCAACAAAATTGTTGTTTCATGGAATTAAAGACAAATAACAATATGAAAAGTGTCAACATCCCTTGCATTCTAATGGATTCAAATATTTTCTGAATAATAGTTTTGGCATATCATGGTTGGAATATCCCAATCATAAATTAAGAGATTCACCTAGTCAAGAGTTAGTCTGATGGCCTTTATATTGGACTATTTGCGACCAGATGATGAATGAAAAAATAATAAATATGCAACTGGGCCTGGAGTGGGGTAAATCTTAGGGTAAATCATTGATTGATCATAGGCTGTTTATCTATGATGTGAACTTTGAATCATTCGTTCATCGCTACTTTAGTAGTCGCTTTATACCTACATAATATTATGACTTGATAATTGATATATAGGTAATTGAAAACAATACCTAGGTACCCTACCTATTACCTCTGATTACTACTTCAAAACAGACGATTCAGTCTTTCCCTACAATCCAGACACCAAAATGTTGGAATAGTTATTGAGAATGGAAAAAGTGGGCGATATGTATTATAAAATCCTTGAGAAACGACTGAAGTTGTAAAATATACAGTGAAATATGGAGTTCAAACAAATCTATCTAAGAACTTACCCATCTTATTTCGGCGAAACTAATATAAAAATAAATATGCTTGGCAAGTCAACTTAAAACTAAAACCACCACATCACACCACCACCAAATTTTCTACAGTAATAAAATTGAAAAAAATTACGAGAAACAAAAATCTAGATAAATGACCAAACAAAACGTCAACCATCAAAATGGGCGAGCCCAAATTTGTTCACACTTCATAGAAATCATAGAATGTTATAGAATCTTAAGTGACGAAATGACAATGACGGATGCCTAGAGAGAGGAGAGAGTCTATGGCGAGCAACATTTGAGAAGTCGAGTTTACCCGATCGAAAGGCCTTTCAGGTTTGCTTCAAACGAGTGATCCGTGTTCCGTGTGCATTCGATTCTGAATAGTATTCCGGTTTACACATTGAAAGACTTTCCACAGGTATTGATATCGAATAATAATCAATGGAATTATTGTTTCATGGAATTAAAAACAATTTGAAAAGTGTCAACATCCCTAACATTCTATAAAATTGAGAGTTTTTGTCAGTGACATCTGTGAGAGAGAAAAAAAAGGTAGCAGCAGGTCAGGCGTTCGGGAAAGCTCGACTCCTCAGGTTGTGCTTGCTCTAGACTCTACAGCTTCTGCTCAGTAACACCAAGGATTCACAGACACTTCTGAGTTCTGATCGGAGGTTCTGATAGTGACACTAATGAGTGCGTGATAACATCACGTCTAACGGAAAGCTAGCCACTGCTCTATTATTATTTGCAATTTGTGACATTTAAAGTTTTGACTGTTTTGAGGTTTTGGTTTTTGGTTTTCTTTCAGATTCAGACACTGATCGATTTTGATTACTGTATTTCTAAAAGTTGAAATTCAAGAAAAAAATCGAATATAATGAACAAGTAAATTATATCCATGATGATGTACCAGATATACTATAATATACTTATGATATACACCAAGACAACTGTTTTAATAGATCAGGCCATCTTCTCACATTAGGTACTTGTAGAGATAATGGATCATGAGTTTTGAAATCTCTTGTAGAAACTAAAGTCTTGAATACATGAGAATTTCCAACTATAAACAATGTTGGAAGGTTTAGTGGCTTGGATATTGAACAATTACTTGGGAAAATATGTTCAGTTAAACACAGATCAGCTGAGTGTGGCACTTTTATCAGGTGAGCTTGAGAATAACACCTCTGTAAACATTTATTATCCTAAAACCGGCAGGTACTATATCCCAATTATAATGATCATTCAGTAGTTCAAAAGCCACAAAGTATCAACTCCAGACTGCACCATTATAACATATTTTCTGAGAGTTTGGGGCGAATCAGAAGGGTAGCAATGTGTCAGTGATATCAGTGAGAGAGAATAATTTATTTTTAGGAAAAGTAGAATTAGAAAATCTACCATTGAAAAGAGATGCACTTCGTCATCTTGGATTACCTGTTGTAATCAAATCAGGATTCATTGGTAAAGTGAATTTACAAGTTCCAGTTGGCCAGATCCGTTCAGCACCATGGGTAATAGCTATTGAACAGCTATATTTAGTTGCTAGCCCCTTATCAATTGATGAGGTAAGTCCATGTGTTGCCTAAACAGTATCAAGCCAAGCATCAGTTTAAAATTCCATTTTGATTGATTTATTAGTCTCATAAAATACCAAGATACATATTACCTGCACAATCTTTGAGATCATAAATATGGAAATAACAGATTATAATGTCAGGTGGTTGAATATTTGTGAGTGATATTTTATTTTACATTACATGTCTTCCAGATTTCACATTGCCATGTGTTGGATTATTGACTCTCAGAGTAAAGTTAGTTGAATTCACTTGGAGTTCATTAACATCTGGGATTTAGATGAACATGTGGGTTATGTTTGTCAAGTTTCATGTTTAGTTCAGTCAGTTCAATTCATGAAATGAGATTCCTAAAGGAGTAGAACTTATATTCCAGTTGCAAATAAAATAATGTTGAATTTGGGTAGTGCAGATCAAGCTGCAGATTGATTGAATTTATAATTGAATATTTTGATATGAGATATTGACTTCAATAGAACCTCAGGGCAGTGGCTTAACTACAGAGTGGCAAGTCAGCAAAATGCCATGGGGCTCCAGCTGGAAAAGCCCCCCCCCCCCCCAGTCAGAGGAGAATCCCAACTCTCAAAACTTATTTTTATACATTTAGTAAAAAAAATAATTTTGTCTTCAATTTATTTAAGTTACCTACTTAGTTGATTTATACTCAGTTAGAAATCCATTTTAGGAGTACTGCAAGGGTAAATATTGGAATCACTATTCTTCATCCTATTCACTTCTGATAACAAAAATTACTGCAACTATCCTGATAAAATTTTATCATATGCCCACACTAATATTTTAATGACCAATAGTAACATTGAACACACACCTAATTATAATCTCTACCTGCATAGGATGGGGAGAAGTAAAGCAAATATATTTGAAAAAATTGGAAGTAATTCAAAAATGGATTTTGATAATTATTTATGGAATAGATTATTCATTTCCAACCGACCTTCTATACAAAGAATTCCAGAAAGATGGATATAAATCAGCTTTATAGTTATTGTTTTTAAAATTTACATGTTCAAAAACATAAATGATATTAAACCCAAAAAAATTACCTATAATAAAACAATTGATATTTGAATATTTGATTCTTTATTTGTATGATGAAACTCCACTTGAGATATTAAAGAAGTAGAATCCTTTTATTGCTACAAAACTAAAATGAAAAACTGGATATTAGTTTCTTCAAGGAGTTTATTTGCTTCTCTGGTTATTATTCAATATCTATGAAAAACAATACATTTTCATTCATAAATTACTTCTGTCTGGAATTAATCAATTGATTTATTTAATAACCATAATTTTTATTTTAAATACCTCACAACAAGTTATACTTCCTAAGGTTTTCTTTGTCTATTCAATACTGATGTGTATACTTTTCAGTTATATTATGTCAACATTCTGAATAAACTTTATTATCATTATTATTATATCAATAACAAATCAATCAAAGCAACAGATAACATTAAATTTCTATTTGTTACTCTTGACCGGAAGTTATCATGGGAAGCCCATATAAAAACTGTTTGCTCCCGGCTAACCACATGTTGCTATAGGATCAAGAATCTTAGAGACACTGTTTCTTTTGACCTGAAACTACTCTATTGTGGGCATGTTCAATCAGTTTCACAATATTGACTAGTGTTCTGGGGTTTTATCTTCATATAAGGCTTTCAATTGCACAGAAAAAATTTTTGAGAACTATTTTCAATGAACATCCTCTGTCAACATGTAGTTATTTATTTAAAAAATCACAAATACTAACATTGCCTAGTTTATATACATTACAATTGTTGAAGGAAATGTAAACAATTTCAAGAAAAATGAGTATGCACTCTTATGATACACGTGTGAAAGAAAATATTTATCAGAGGTATTCTGGACTTCAAATTTCCTAGAATTTACCCAACTATATATAAATATACAATAAGTTCAAATGTATCTGTGATAAGAGTATATCAATTGTAATATGTCCTTCAGAAACAAACTCAAACATTTATTGATGGAACATTATTTTTCTAATGTAGAGAAGTTTCTCAATTTTTAAAAAATGTTTTTTACTAGTCAGATAAATATGCATCTGTTTTTGGTATGTATTCATTGAATTTATCTGTATGTTTTTGTGATGAACAATCTTTTGATCAGATGTTCAAAAGGCGCTAAAGCTCTTCAATTTAAAGCCATCGATCCTTCAAAGCGTTTGGAAGTATGTCTAGAAGAACTTGAAAAGTACGGACATGAATTTGAAGATTAAAATCGGAAGCAAATAGTATTGCAGTGAAATGGTCTATAAACCCTGAATTTCCTAAAACTCGTCAGAGAAAAGTGAAACGTCGTTATGATAAAATTTGTGAGGATGAAACCGAGGATGAGACGTCTATCCTGTATTATACATCATCGTTAATTTACTGAGATCGTGTTTCCTTGGAGTGAATGAAATTGTTTCCGATTTCAGTGTCTTGAATTGCAACCTGCCACTTTGCAAAATTTGAATGATACTGGTTCATTAGAAAATGCTTTAGCATTTGTCCATCTACAAGGTGTCCTAAAACAACGTACTATAAGTTCTACAGGGTGAACTAGAAACCAAACATGCTGATTGAAATCAACTTACCTCTATACGAAAATGCACTGTTCAGCCGTGAGAGGGCGATGAAGAACCATTTCATTACCAGATTTTCTTTAATATTTGAAATCCTTGAAGAATATGGCTCTGAAATTCGTAGGGCAATTCACTATAATGAATGTGCATGGAAAACATGTCCTACCAATTCAATCAACATACTCGAAGTTAGCTATTTCACATTTGCTTTGAAACAAATTATTGTTACTTTTTTTGGAGAACAGCACTGACCACATTTTCATATTTTGATGAATGACATAATTAATCCAATCATCTCACTTTTTCCTAACTGAAGTGTTTTATTTTTATTGGTTTTCGAGATATCTGATAAAATCCATTTTGGTGCTCCTCTAGACTTGATTTTAGTTCAATATAGACTTTAACCCTCTCATGCATAATGCCCACTACAGTGGACAGGAGGAATAAGTAGTTGTAAGCAATGGAAATATTCCATGTTTTATCAAAAACTATTTATGGTTGGCTATATTAGACATATTGTGACATATCACCAGTCTTACCACCTTCTGGGAAAAAAATCAGTGGGTCATTCTTTATGTTGAATCATATTTGCACTAATGTAAACTGGTTGCTGAAGACTTCAATGTTGTTCCTGTCAGAACAGTTCATGGACGCTCTAGAATAAATGTAACAAATCGACATCTTGATTATTGTAACCTATAATTAGTAATGTAAATATATAATAACAAAATATCTCACTATGCCAACTACTTTATGGACTAACGGTGTATAACTTCGAATTCGGTAGTGGGATCATGAAACGGAAGAATTGGCAAGACACGAATGGAAGCTCAGTGCTCTGGATGCACTGGAAGCTAAATGGCGATTGGAAAGGGATGTTCACGACACCAATTCTGCTTATTATGCAACATCGTATTCTTCTTGGTTCAGTTATGGAGCTGGTTTGGTTTCAGAGATCATTGAAAATCTACAGGTATATTTTTATATCACATATCGCGGAAAAAAGTTTTTCGAAATAATCTATAGGTACAGGTTGTTTCTAAATGTTATGTTGAATCGTTTTCAAATAGAGAGTTCAGCTTGCATTGAGAGTGAAAAATATATCCCTTTCTGCTTTGTCTTCAGCATGAGAGAGAAAATGAGAAGAAACAAAGAAGAAAACCACTCCTACCTTATTTCTTCAACTCTTTTTTCTTTATTTAACGTTTGAACCCCGAAGATGAAGACAGAAAGAGACGTTCTGTATTGAAAATAAACTTATTTTTCTCAGTTTCACATATTACTAAAATATGATTAAATTCATAATTTCACGACATATATGAAACTCATTTTACTTGGTTTTTTGGGATTTTCTCCTCGTTTCTATAAAATAAAAGTATTCGTATTATTTCAATATATTTGTACAGGGACAAATCAGATGATTTGCCCCAAAATGTCACTGCGTTTAACAAATTTTTCTATCAGGGAGTCTAAAAGAAAAATCCAGTAGCTTGTCAGTGACAATTTGTTTGAAAAAATTTTTTAAAGGAAAGAAATATAGATATATTGAAAAAATATCGAATTTGTACTTATCTTTGGACGTTTCGGGACCGATTCTGCTCCCGTTCTCAACATGTAAGTGTCAAACTATATACGCAGCACAACTTTCAAAGAAAAATAATTTGCATTTACATGTTGAGAACGGGAGCAGAATCGGTCCCGAAACGTCCAAAGATAAGTACAAATTCGATATTTTTTCAATATATCTATATTTCTTTCCTTTAAAAAATTTTTTCAAACAAATTGTCACTGACAAGCTACTGGATTTTTCTTTTAGACTCCATGATAGAAAAATTTGTTAAACGCAGTGACATTTTGGGGCAAATCATCTGATTTGTCCCTGTACAAATATATTGAAATAATACGAATACTTTTATTTTATAGAAACGAGGAGAGAAAATCCCAAAGAACCAAGTAAAATGAATGTACCACCTCCTCGATTAACCTACAGACAGTATATATGAAACTGTCGTCTCATGCGATAAAAAAACCAATCAGAATGGTGTGCCTCAATAGTATGCTGCTCCTTCCTTTCAAGTCGGTAAGACCACGTCGTCACGGCAACATTTGGTCACCTGGTATGACATGGCGATGACAGTTCCATATAGGTCGTGGAATCGTCCAAATAAATAAAATTGAGCTTACAATACTATCGGAAATTATGTCAGAAATATTGAACTCAAATCAAATTTCTTGTGCCCCATCTTTTTCTATACTATCTCAAGGTATTCTTGTTCATTGCAGCCCCTCAAGTTTCAATTGTTTTAGGAATTTAATGATTTTGAGGGAATCTGTTCAAGATATTTGTTCCACGGTCAGCTGGTATGACACACGAAATACAAAATCTCTTCATTCTATTGATCAGTTACGTGTATGCAGCTAGTACAGATCTTCACCTTAGAGAAGTATCTGCCAGTATACTTCTTCCAACAAGAAATCGAGTGTTTATCCCCAGAATTGAATAAGGATGGAACTATACAGGGTGTTTGGTAGCTGGGTGCAAACCTTGAAGGGGGTGATACACTAGCCCATGTAGAACATATTCATACAAACATTTTCATTTTCTAGCGCGTTTTTGATTTTTAAGGGAACTTTTACGATTTTTAGTACAAAAACCCAAAATTGGTCAATTAAATGCTAATAACTTCGAATCTTAACAGAAATGTCCAGTTTTTTTCATTTATTTTAGTAGTCCTATGTGTCCCCAATCGTATTAAAGTAGTTTGAAGCACCATTGTGTCAAAAAAAGTTATGTACAGAGCATTTAAACTTTACAAAAAAAGAAAGAAAATAAAAAATCTGACCTTTGATGCCAATTAAAAAAATAAATAAAATACATACAGGTGTTCAGACACTTTTAAAAACATGCGTAGTTATTGCTCTTTCGTTCGAGGTATCATTTATCTAGCTAAGTCCTAAACTTTTTCAGTTAGGGTGCCTGAACCAGTTAAGGGTTGTAAATATAGATATTTGAAAGATTTAAAAAAAAGTAATTTGAATGAATTTTAGCTCGAAAACCTTTAAACATAAATCCTAAAGCAATATGCGATATTATTTTTAGACTTACATGGAATAATGAGAAACTTAGCCCAACCGGTGGCGGTGGCATTTTACAACAAAGAATTTGACCTGAAGTTAGTCATTAATTGGAATGCATTCTTTCGTTATTGCTGGGGCCATGAAGTTGCTTCTGAGTTTATCAATTTTTAGGTACCTGAGTTGAGTAATCATCTTGGACCCCTCGCCGGGTCGATTTGGTTGGCCAAACAAGCTAAATAAATGATTTTTATTATTATTATTATTTTATTACCCATGTTCAACACGTGTTCAATTACCTAAATTTACTAATTTTATTGCATTTTTGTTTCAAATTCCTTTCCAAAGAAAATTTCCAATAAATGTGTGGGCTGGGGTCATCGGACGCACATTGGTTGGCCCACACATTTTGCCTGACAATTTGAATAGACAAAATTACCTCGAATTCATGATAAACGACTTGCCAATGTTACTCTATGATGCCGAAGTGCCAAAATTGGACATGGACAGGCCGATCACATTTCAGCAAGATGGATGCCCAGCACATTGGGCTGTAAGCGTCCGCGAACACCTGAACCACTGTTTTCCTGGCAACTGGATCGGGAGAGACGGACCCATTCCCTGGCCTGCCAGGTCGCCCGACCTGACTCCGTTGGATTTTTTTTTGTGTGGGGTCGGGTGAAAGAACTCTTATACAAAACAGAAATCACCACGAGAGAAGAATTACTTCAGCGAATAGAGGCAGCGTTTGAAAGTATGAAACAGGAAATGCAAATGAAAGTATAACCACAACTGAAGTACGAAATCGTTGTAGAAAGTGTATACGCAATGGTGAAGGACATTTTGAACACCAACAATAAATTTTTACAGTACAAAACATTTGTTTCTTCAATTCCAAAAAAATCTATATTTACGACCTTTAACTGGTTCAGGTACCCTAATTTAAAAAGTTCAGGATTTAGCTAGATGAATGATATCTCAAACGAAAGAGCAATAACTACGCATGTTTTTAAAAGTGTCTGAACACCTGTATGTATTTTATTTATTTTTTTAATTGGCATCAAAGGTCAGAATTTTTATTTTCTTTCTTTTTTTGTAAAGTTTAAATGCTCTGTACATAACTTTTTTGGACACAATGGTGCTTCAGACTACTTTAGTACGATTGGGGACACATAAGACTACTAAAATAAATGAACAAAACCGGACATTTCTGATAAGATTAGAAGTTATTAGCATTTAATTGATAAATGTTGGGTATTTGTACTAAAAATCGCAAAAGTTCCCTTAAAAATCAAAAACGCGCTAGAAAATAAAAATGTTTGTATGAATATGTTCTACATGAGCTAGTGACCCCCTCCAAGGTTTGCACCCAGCTACCAAACACCCGTATAACTGTTTCACAAACACTTTAGAGTGAGAGGAGACTAGGATCTGTCCTTACCCTGATAAGATGACAAATACGTCAAATTCGCATCAAGGGATCATATGTCTCACTATCTCGTGTACATCCATCGCAGTATTGATAGGTTGCAACTCCATCAAATTGCTTTTGTATGGGTGTTGGATCTCGTTGATTCCTGACATAATTACAATCGATAGTATTGCGAGACCTCATGGTACTACCCCTGGAAGTATTAGTGTGAAGTACCAAGAATGAAAATAAATAAGCCCACTAGCATATGAGTGATTCAATATTCAGCGTGGCATTAGGCAGGAAAGTAGTTGATTCTCGTTGATTTATCAATTATTGATGGAGGTGACATTAATTGGGTTTTATTTGTTCCATTCTGGTAACGGTGGTGGGAACAGTATGACGTTTACAAACAAAACAATAAATTTTCGGGCTCCGAATAATTTCAATATCATAATACTAGATGTAAAAATCGATAAAATTAATTAAATGAATCAACTCATACTTGGAGCAGTGATTGTGGTGCTTGAAGAAAGTTCACAGAGATCACATATGAAACCTTTCTTACTTGAAAGAATCATAAACTTGTGAACCTCACAATAAAAAGGGCTTCTAAATGTCTTCTACCTTAAAAAAGCTTTTTTTTGTCAATCTAATTTCATTTTCTGACAACTGTCAACAGTCATTCCACGTCATTTCTTGTAGTGAGACAGAATGAAAAGTAGCAACCGGAATCGGTAAAGTTGCAGATACAACGACACATCAAAGTCATTCCGGTGGCGGAATCAGATAAATAAAACGCAACTCTTGTGTTTTCCCTCTTTGGGTTTCATTACCTTTTCGATTACCATAATTGTTATTATTTTGTTTCTCTTAGTTGAGGATACAGGATGTGCATATTAGATACGAAGACTCAACTTCCATCTCTACACCGATTTCATTCGGCATCACGCTGCAGTCGCTGGTCGCTCAGAGCTGCGACAGCAACTGGTTGCCGGGTTTTATTCACACCAACAAAAGTGAAGAGTCGTTCAAGCTGCTCGATATACAGAAGTTCGCGATATACTGGAACACGGTTAACAAAGAAGATCTGTTGTCTGACTCGAGTCCCGCCGAACTCGCTGTAAGTGTAGTAACATAAACAGTTCAACACTGTAAACGTTTATTGAACAACTAATTTTCAGTAGTTCCTAAATGTACTTGACACTGCTGTTTTGACGTTTTTTGTATATTATATAGTACGGTCACTATGACAAGCACCGACAGTCAGACATAACCACAAATAAATTGATGGGAAAAGCGGAAACTGGCAGTACACGTACGTACATGACATAAATTTCAAAGGTTTGAGAAAATTGAGAGAAAGATGCAAGTTTGTGCAGTTTCCAACTGTGAGAACACGGGAAATCAATTCACTCTATTCGAATTTCCATCGGATAACGCAATTCTACAAAAATGGAAACAGAATATAATGCGGCCGGCATGGAATATAGGTTGAGGCCACAAAATTTATTGGTAGGATATACAGGGTGGGCCACCAGTAACGCCTCGGTCTCTAGAAGGCTAACCACTTATCTTCTTGGAATTATTCCTCTCTAGGAAGTTGCATGTCAACATAGACTACCATTTAAAATTATTTCCAAACATACAGGGTGTCCCCAAAAACCATAAAACACTGAAGTTAAACTTTTTTCTATCGAACACCCTATATATTATTTCATTTTGAGATTCTCCCTGATGAGCTGATTTCAACGACCCATCATACTTGGAGTCTAGCAGTTATAATTACTGAAATATAGGGTGTGAAAAATCGAGATTTTCCAAGTTCAAGAATTTTTTGTGTCGAAACTATTCATAATTGGTCAAAACGGCTTACATGTCCCTATCTCAACTTTTGATTAACTATCTACTGATATTTAATTGGGACATATACCGGGTGATCAAGATTCTGAATTCTGCACCACCCTGTATTTAAATCAAAGACAGAAAAAGATATATGGATGTACTCTTCCCAGGACTTGTGGAGGAAGGAAGATGCGAGGATCCTTTATACAAGCGAAAAACATATTCCTGTCCTTGTCTGGCAAAACATATAATTTTCTTCAAAATCGTTTGTGGTTATGTTCGATTGTCACTGCTTGTCTAAGGTCCATACTCTAATATAGAAAAAAACGCCAAAACAGCAGTGTCAGGTACTTTTAGGAACTCTTATTTTCAGTTGCTTCTCTAGTCCTGAATATTTGCTTCATCAATTATTGAATTAGCTAGTCTGACGAATCCTGTGAAAACTACCAAAATTCAGAAATGAGATGACAACTCAAAGCTACTGCTACTGTTTAGTGTTCCTAAATTGCTTACTGTGGCCAGTAATGTCAGCAATATCGGAACATGAACTATATGTACAATCATATTTTAAAAATATTTTTTTCAGGAGGCTTTGAATAGCAATAAATTGAAACAAAATAATGGGCAGTACATAATTCCGTTTGTGAGTGCCCATGCTCATCTAAAAAGGCACCGTAGTACACAGCCCCTACGAAGCTCCACCCCTAGAATAGTCTGTGATTTATCATTGGAAGAAGTTCCTTTAACATTGAGTGATGTGAGTATGCAGAAAAAATAGTAAAAGCATGAAATGTCTTCACTAAGAAAAAAGAAACCAACCACAGTCATTTGGGGAAATGAGGAAGTTTCCTTCAGATGAATTTTCATAAAATAAGTTCGGAACTCCTCAGTTTCATGTGAACGCTGTACAGAAAAGCAATCAATACAGTCTCAATTTTATTTTCAAAATAAAGCAATTTCCCATTTTCGGGGCAGAAAGCTGTCACGTACTTTCTGTATCTAGTCTGAATTTAACTGATGATGAAGAATAAAGCTAGTGAATAGCTAACAAATAAAAAAAATAGAAAAAGAAGAAGATAACTTGGCGTAGTTGTTGATGGTTACATCATAAAAAATATATATGATCACCTAACTAACAAAACAACTATAAACTGTAGGCTGATAGAGATGAAAAATCGACAATAGTGAAACTGGTAAACAAAGAAATACATAACCCCAATATCAGAATAGCTGTTGGTGTGCCTGTTAGTATTTTGTGTGGTATGGATGGGCACCAAGTATATGCGCTGTTGCAAGACATAATCTGCAACTTCCCTAGAAAATAGATCCGTTTTATAAAGAAATGAATTCATTTGCAAAATAATGACTGACAAGTAATCATCATAAACCTTTATTAGTAATCAACTTCAGTCAGCAAATGAGAGATTCATGAAAATTATTCATAAGACTTGGCGAAGTAGGATTAAAAAACATATTATATCTCATTGCTGTTGTGATGTTATGATTCATTCAAAGAACAATTTCCGGAATTCTAGACATGTTGATGATGCCGGCAACGTATGGACAAAGGGAATCGTATTTCATCTGTGTGAATGTGGCTTTTCTAGGAAGTAGGTCATAGGAATTATGAAGGAGCTAAGCTCTTTTTTTAATATTTTTTTTATGAAGTGAATGTTGATTTAATAAGAAAATCTAATTATTTTCAAATTCCAATTTCGAAAAATGAAGCATAATTCCTTTGGATTCATTCAGAAAATTTACCTACCCTCGTGTCTAGTCACCTTCGTCCTAAACTATGTCATTTCCACCTTATGCGAATTTTCAGAGACATTGCTATTTAAATCAAAACCTGTCTTATGGAAATACTCGTTTGCTTCCATTCAGAAAATAAAGAAAATAGAAAAACTTTCAAAAGAGTTTGATGTTCATCAACCGAAGGGCACAATTTGGATTCTGCTAAAAATGACAGTAACTCAGGTCACATTGGGCCTCTTCAATAAATCTAATAATGAATGAATAAGATTTACAAATGGAAAGAACCCCAATCATGTTAAATGGCAATTTTTTGGAATGTTACATCTTAGAAAATTGCTGCTCTTTAGGCGTCAAAAAAATGTCGAATATCATGAATCAAAACTGTAACAACATGAAACTTTGTGAAAAGGAATATTCTCAGATATATTATGAACATGAAGAAGAGATATAATATTGATAATATATGCGCAGGACTTTAGGGTGTGAATGCTCGTCCAAAAATATGAAAAAAAGTTTCCATCAACTAACCCTTTAAAATTCATCATTATCTCGAAAATGATGGTGTTGAAATTTGAAAAATAAAATCGTTTTTTGCCGATATCTCATAATTTCATACCCAATCAATGGGAATCAAACTTGAACGATGGAAACTTTTTATTTTTATAGACCTTTAATCGCAGATTGGGTTTTCTCAATTCAGAACTTCTCTCCACGTCCTGTATGATGAAAATCAATTCATCACACATCCAATAACATAAAACTCTCTTGAAAAATTCGAAATAAACATTACTGAAAACATTTCGCAATTTAACTCAAGACACTATGGTATATACATTGAACTAACAGGAAAGTTACTCTTCCTACGAGCTTGCGGAAATGTAACTTTTCCGCATGATTTTTTGTTTTGAAAGTTATACTTTTCCGTACGATTTTACTTTTTCGCATTATTTTTACTTTTTCGCACGATTTCGAAGGAAATACCAGGAGACATGTGGTGATGATAACTGTTGGCACCAGAACGTACCCATAGTAACAGTCGCTATAAACTGACAGTAGTGGCAGTCAACAAATAAGCATTTCAGACAGTCTACCATCCTCCATTCACTACACTAGTAATTCCCAGCAACAAACTGATCAAGGCATTTCTGTTGTGGGCCAAACACTAACCAATCAAATTCAAATAAGAAACGACGTTCTTCATGATGTTGCGGCATCTGCTTTATTACAGCATGCAAAAAACACAAATTGCACTAGTTATTGTTATTTAAATATTCTTCAAATGAATTTCCTATTATATCGATGAAAAAAAATGTATTTCATTATTTTTCAGTGCATGAAAATATCGTGCGGAAAAGTTACTTTACGCACTAGTGAAGGGCGGAAAGTGAGGGCGGGAAGTAGAGGTGTGTAATGTGACACTTCCCTACCTTCAATGACGTTAGTAATGACAACATTACATATTTAGTTGTAAATAAATGTCTATTTTGCCCTTGACGACTTGACCGAACTTCGCGTCGTTCGTGCAACTGCCGTCGCGTGCGGAAATGTACTACTTTCCTTTACACTTGTCAGGTAAATAACTATTTCGTTACTTTTTTCAGAGGCAATATAATCAAATAGTGGCTTGTCTGCGTGGCTTAGAAGACGTTGACAGGTTACGTAAATATCGTCAATATAAGCCGGTTCTGCCGGTCAAAATGGATCCCCGTGCTTGGTGGTTATACGCGATAAGCTGCTGCTATCCCGGTAAGCAACCTGCCATATGCAGGCCGAAAGTCACTTGGGAAATTTGCCTGAAGAAGGCGAAAGAGAACGTCCGCTACGTTAAAATCTGTATGAAACTCTTGATCGCCCCTACTACAACTTTAGGGGTCGAAGAGAAGAAAGTCAAGGATGAAATCGAATGGACTAGGGAGTATGAAGAATTGAAGGTGTTGAGAGAGGTGGGTGCAAACTTTATAGGGATCAATGAATAGTTTTTGTCCTATTGTAATTCTAAATTAAAACCTGGTGGGCAAGGTATAATATTGTCTGTTCACTGACCCAAAATATGTCTGTCTGTCAATTGCATTGGTTTCCTAAAAATGTGGATCGGTTCTTCACTCCGGCTTGACTGATTGGATTTCTCAAGTATGAAACATTGTGCTTCTCGGATCTGCAACGAAACATCACATATTAAATATCATTGTAAATATAAAAGAAATAATATCATAAGAGACGCGCCTACTTCCTTTGCAGAGACAGCTTATAAACGCCAAAAGTTGATACTCTTCCCTCGTAAGGGTACCTGTCGTGCTTCCATAGAGACATAAAGGTGAATATCTGTCTAGCTGTTTGCTTGAGAATCTGGAATGAAAATCAATAAATCGCCTTCCGTACGAATATTAGGATTTCAATTTAGGAAAGTATACTCTGGTCAGTTTTCTTTGCCTTTGCGGATCGTTTCTTTGGTTCGGCTTGACTGGATGGTTTTCTCCAATTTGGTGGCAAGTATCAAACACTGTGTTTCTCGGATCTGAAACTAAACACATATTCGAAGTTCATATAAATACAGAATCAACGTTCCTAACTGAATTGCAACATATTCGCTTCCTTTCTGAATAATGGTTTCCTCGGTAGTCTCCATCCACATGTTCATATTACTTGGGTTTATAATAAGGACCTGGAATGCCAGACAATGTGCTGCTGGGATCTGAAACTGAGTATTCATTTAAAATCTGAACCGTGAGAGGTACATATAATAAAATATAAGAAAAGTATCAATATTGTTTTCAACATTCGTAACTGAAATGCGATCTATTTCTGTAAAATATCAATTCATCAACTATCTCAATGAAAACTAGGTAGACAGATAAGCAACAATTTCCTCTGCAATGAAAAACACTGTATATACCTAACCCATCAGGCGCCTACCTCCTTTGCAGAGAGGGTTTATGAACGCCAAGTTGATACTCTCCCCTCGTAAGGGTACCTGTCGTGCTTCCATAGAGACATAAAGGTGAATATCTGTCTATCTGTTTGCTTGAGAATCTGGAATGAAAATCAATACATCGCCTTCCGTACGAATATTAGGATTTCAATTTAGGAAAGTATACTGGTCAGTTTTCTTTGCCTTTGCGGATCGTTTCTTCGGTTCGGCTTGACTGGATGGTTTTCCCCAATTTGGTGGCAAGTATCAAACACTGTGCTTCTCGGACCTGAAACTAAACACATATCAAATTCGAAGTACATATAATACAAAATCATTATCATTAGATGCGGTACTTGGATGTTGAATCTGAAACATACCTGAATAATATTTTCAACGTTCGTAACTGAATTGCAACATATTCGCTTCCTTTCTGAATAATGGTTTCCTCAGTAGGCTCCATCCACATTCTCAAATTACTTGGGTTATAATATGGACCTGGAATGCCAGACAATGTGCTGTTCGGATCTGAAACTAAGTATTCATTTGAAAGCTGAATCGTGAGAGGTACATAGAATAAATAAAATAAGAAAAGTATGAATATTGTTTTCAACATTCGTAACTGAAACGCGATCTATTTCTGTAAAATATCAATTCATCAACTATCTCAATGAAAACTAGGTAGACAGATAAGCAACAATTTTCTCTGCAATGAAAAACACTGTATATACCTAACCCATCAGGCGCCTACCTCCTTTGCAGAGAGGGTTTATAAACGCCAAGTTGGTACTCTCCCCTCGTAAGGGTACCTGTCGTGCTTCCATAGAGACATAAAGGTGAATATCTGTCTATCTGTTTGCTTGAGAATCTGGAATGAAAATCAATACATCGCCTTCCGTACGAATATTAGGATTTCAATTTAGGAAAGTATACTCTGGTCAGTTTTCTTTGCCCTTGCGGATCGTTCCTTCGGTTCGGCTTGACTGGATGGTTTTCTCCAATTTGGTGGCAAATATCAAACACTGCTTCTCGGATCTGAAACTAAACACATATCAAATTCGAAGTTTATATAAATACAGAATCAACTTTCGTAACTGAATTGCAACATATTCGCTTCCTTTCTGAATAATGGTTCCCTCAGTAGCCTTCATCCACGTTTTCATATCACTTGCGTTATAATAAGGACCTGGAATGCCAGACAATGTGCTGCTCGGATCTGAAACTAAGTATTCATTTGAAATTTGAATCGTGAGAGGTACATAGAGTCAAAAAATAAGAAAAGTATGAATATTGTTTTCAACATTCGTAACTAGAACGCGATTTATATATGTAAAATATCAATTCATCAACTATCTCACTGAAGGCGAGGCAGGCAGATTAGCAACAATTTTCTCTGCAATGAAAAACACTGTATATACCTAACCCATCAGACGCCTACTTCGTTTGCAGAGAGGGGTCTCTAAACGCCTAGTTGGTACTCTCCCCTCGTAAGGGTACCTGTGGTGTTCTCATAGACATAAAGGTAAATATCTGTTTGCTTGAGAATCTGGAAAGAATTTCAATATATTGCCTTCCGCACGAATATTAGGATATGAATTAAGAAATGTATACTCTAGTTTGTTTTCTTCGCGGATCTGCCCTTCGGTTCGGTTCCACTGGATGGTTTTCTCCGATTTTTGGTGGCAAGTATCGAACACTGTGCTTGTCGGATCTGCAACAGAACATCACATATCAAATATCGGAGTTGAAAAAAAATACAAGTGAAAATCGATAGAGGCGGTACATGGATGTTAAATCTAAAACTTACAAGAGAGTACACTTAGAATGCTATTCCATTTTTTGAAAATTTCGATTTTCCAAAGCAACATCAAAATAACACAATCAAGCGATACAATCACTTAACTCAACGAGGAAATCATAAAATGATACCATCATTTTCTTTTCAGTCCATAAAGTAATAATTTGTTACCAATGAATGATACCACCACTTGATTGGACAATACTCGATTAAATCTCATTACAAGACTTTGATATTTTTTTCTGTAATACTCTGTAATACTCAGTGGCCATGCTGATTTTTGGTAGCTGTCATATTGTCGTAAATATGGCGCAGTCAGCACTGGATCGCCATGTATATAAATAGTTTTCCGCACATTATAGGAGTTTGACAATTCGTGTGTGATCATTGAATGAATGAAATGAATGAAATATTGTCGACTTCGGGAACTTCGGGAAATTAGTTGAAGATTTGTCCGTAAAAATTGGCAGTTGCATTACCTAGCACAGTCAGATGCCCACTCCCTGCGATATCTCAATGATTTTACTAATTTCTCTTGTTTTTTTTATTCGCATAAAGGACCAAGACAAATGTCTTGTGAAAATGGCTGGATTTTTGATATGTTGTAGCTGTAGTCATTCTAAGTAAAAGACTCCATTGGCCCAACTCGATCGTTTGACCAGATTCGGCGCTAGAGGTTGAAACATCATGAATTTTGTGTATTTTTGAGTCTTCAAAGCTTAATGAAGAATATGAAAATCTTGTGATATGCATTCATCCTACCAAAATTCATTGAAGATAGATAAGTTTTAAGGTTACAGAGAGGATGTAGTAGCCTTTTTACAGGGTGGTCAACAATAAACTGATTTTCAGAAAATGCGAATGCCATCGCCTATATGAGAAAGCTGATTTATTGAGTTCATCAATTAGCGATCGATCAGAATAAACGTTGATCGAAGAAAAGAAAATGATAATCATTGATACAAAGTGATATTAATTACATAAGTTGCCAATATACTCATTTAGATGATTCAATCATGTCATAGTCCTGAATATGTCTTCTGATTACCAAACATCAAGAAATGGAAAAGTAGACCCGAATGTTAGCCCTTTATGGTGAAAATATAGCGAATATTGGTACCAGTTTCCAGAGTGACACTCTACACTAGTTGAATAAAAATATCAGATTATACTATCACTCATAATAAAAGAAAAATAAGCATACATGCGAAAATAGTTGTTCTAAATAATAGATTTCGTCTTAAAAATTCAACAAATTCAGTGACCAGCTTGATTTATCCAATACGAATGTGAAAACTATAGGAACCTAACATCTGCCTGAACTAAATTGTGTCATGACTGAATAACATCATATTATTGTCAATTTCAGTAGTTTGAACCCAACCTGTATAATATCTTTTTTGTGATGACTGCCACTCTGTGAATGGTTTCTGTTGAGTGGTGTATGAATAAATAGAAAATAAAATGAAAAATAGAAAATGTGACTGCCGCTTTCTCGTTTCTTTACATTTTCTGAGACCATTAACCAGAAGTATGGAAACAAGCGAATATCTCGGTAGACACGGTTATATATAATATATGTACGAGGAGATTTTAAACGTGGCGGATTTGAAAATAATATCGCCAATTATGTCACTTTCTCAGTTACTTCGGAACTATTATTAACTTCCTTATTCTAAATGAAACACCCTGAATTTTATTGATTTTTATATATTCCCTAAAAAGCGGATTTCATCGATTTATCAAATTTAGGGTCTAGCGGGAAAGATCACAGAGATATAGGGTGTTTAAAATCGAGCATTTTCAACTTTAGGATTCTTTTCTCGAAACTATTCATTATTTTCCAAAACGGCTCACATGTCCCTACCTCAACTTTCGATTTACTATCTACTCACATTTAATAAAATAAAAACATTGAATTCTTTATAATAATATCTAACCTATTATGGAATAAAATATAGGGTGTTCCATTTAAAAATCGAAAGTTGATGTCATCTCCAAGAAAACCGGAAGATGAGAAAAAAATCATAAAACGTGAGAAAGTGCCCTATAGTGAGCATATTCGATGTTACAAATTTCGGAAATATAGCTAGCAAAACAGTGAAGAAAAGAGACCATGAGCCCCTTTTCCGATATACAGGCGGTGTGATATTCCTATATATTTTTTGTGTCCGAAAATGATTACTAAGGGCACTAAAATCCTTTGAAGGTAAATGCAGTTTTCTCCAATTATCGTT